GGTAACTTGCTTTCAGAGGAGGGCTCCATGGGTAAATTATCTTCTCGGTCACCCATTAAAAGCTGACGTACTTCTGGATTAGAGGATAAGGACAACGCTATATCCTTATTTTTGTTCCGCAGAGATGCATCAGCTCCATTGGACAACAAAATTTTCACAACATCTCGATGACCACGTTTTGCAGCCCAATGCAAAGCTGTCCTGCAGAACGAAGGAGGGTTAAGAACTTCTTTTATAATGTTGTCAGCTTCACAAGTAAAATCAATTCCTTACCAGCCGTTTATTTCGTGCTTAGCATTTACATTGACACCTTTCTGTAGTAGAATTTGAAGTGTTTCAATATCTCCGACACATGCACTTTCTCTCAATTTTTCTTCCAGTATGTGGACACGATCCATAACTCCTATTGGAAGTCAAGTGGATAGAATTAGGATTTCTGCTGGTTTTAGTTCATTGAAACATTGGCATGCAAACCAAACAGCCAAAACTTTAGTCAGCCACAGTGCCTCAGTGTATGAAATCCAACCTTGTTTCAGTTAGACTTTGTCAGTTCAACCGTATATCGTTTATCAAGAGGTGATAATTTTCAAACCAATGTCAATTCCACTACTTAAATTATGCACGACCGACGAGATGTGTGTAATTACAAACTCAAACGAAATAGAAGGATTGGAAAAATATGAAATGAAAGAAAAACAAAATCGTCTGCTGTGCAACTGAGTATGAGAAATTGCGAACATTTGTTTTTGTTGGACTTCGACTCACTTTACTCTAGTGTTCGGTGTCAAACGTGCATTGAAGTTTTGAACAACGGCTGCCCACCGGAGTATCATTCAAAGACAATCTAATAACTTTCTTGTTCTGTTGATCTTGCAATTAGAAAAAGTATAACCTTGGCGCGACACCTTTTTTATGAGACTTTTTATTAAATATTGGTAGGAAGTCAGGAAAAACAGAAAACTTCAAAAGAGACATTAGTTGCTATTATTATAATTACTATCATTAAAATACAACAGTTTTTTCAGTCTGTGAGTGACACAAGGAATTTGTTTTTTATCACGTAACTCCTCATCGTCTGGATTTGTTGTTGAAAAATCAGCAACTCGGCGTTGGACGTCAGTCAGTATAGTTAGGAGGTGGTCCGACCTTTCCTCACTCAGCTCTTCACATAGTATCTCTATGAACCAAGATATCTTTCCCTCTCTCTTCCATGAAACATAACCTAAAGATATACCAGGTAAATATTATTGGTGTTGGCACTGATAAAACGAAATCTTAACTGTGTTAGCTTTACCATAAACTGTTGCAAAAGCAACCAGAAAATCAGTTTCCACTTCAAACAGACTAGGCTCATCTCCCAAGTCAACATTATCATTTGCTTCTCGAAAGACTTTGCTTTTCTCTACAGGCATTTGAACTCCACTATCCATAAAGGGACCTCGACAGGCCTGAAATTTCAACCATTAGAGGTAAAAGAAAATGTAACGTTATCAATGCAGTGAAAGAGTTTCTTACTTGAATAAAGAATAATTTAGGCTTTCCAACGAGTGTGGGACATCTGTCTGCAGTGAAAGGTGACCACAGTAGCTCTTGAGGGTAGCTTCCGTTCTGAGCATACAACCTTCCCTCCTCTCCATGAGTTAGAACAGTAACTGCCAGGCAGTCACGGTTCGAATGATCTTCTTGACTCGCTGCATAAAATATAAAATCCCAGTTGAAAATCAATAGGTTTGGGTTCATTTGTGGTCTATTCCATGGGTGCACATCCGGTTCATGGTAATTAACTTACTTTCATGCAATACATGTTTAAGAACATTGATGTTTAAATTATTATAAGTCTTTACTTTGAAGCCCAAATTTGAAAAGCATCTTTGTAACCGCCCCACATCAGTTTTACTCCCTCTCCGCCTTTTAAGTTGTAAGGCAGGTTCCTGCAAATGAATTGAATCATGAGGGAAAATATTGTTGTTATTATTAATAATAGCTTGATTTGTTTTCATACATAATCTGTGTGAACAAAAATCAGGGCTTTTCCTCGGTGTCCGTTGTTCATCTTGTACTTGTGGGAATCCCTTACGCTGAAACAAACGTCATTCTGTAGTGCTCTCAGAAGAACCTTAGGAACTGTAAATACTTATAACTAGAATCAGGACACTATCCTACAAAACTAAAATAAATAAAAGGGGAATAACTCACAGCCCATCTTCTGGACACATTGAACCTGTTGCTCTTTCCTCCAGTGCTGCCATTGGACTGCTCCTCCTCGGCTAAGGGCTATTGGGCCGGATTTGGGCATATATGACTGGATATGATCATAAGACTACGACTACTGGAATGGCTGGAACACATCACTGGAATGGAAGGAACTGGGAACTGAACCAAAATCGTCTGCTTCGTCTGCTCTGATGTAATTTTCATATTTTGTTAGCAGCTTAGAATGAAAAATTACTCAGAGCTCATAGCGCACTTTTGGAACTGCTGGAACTGGATGGAAGTGGCTCGGCTGTAAGTACGTCTTTCACTATTTCACTCATGTATTGCTTTGTCACTTCCAAACCACTTTCCAGAATAAATGTCTGATCCACCTTTAGGGTGAAAATACCTTTCACTCATCTCAGTTTTTACCTTTTGGCGTTTTCTGACTCTTTCAAATTGAAGTGGTGACTCCAGCGACTCCAGTTTGTCAAAGAAAATAATGAAACAGTAAATTACAGATAAAAGCTGTCATTCAAGGTATCATTGGTAAACCCTAAGTTCTCCTGTTACTGGTGAAGGGGATGATCTACATCATATTGATGCAACAATGTACAGTTACATTCATTTTTATTCAAAAAGTCAGGAAGGACATGTTTACAGTAAAATATTATTGCTATTTTAAAAATATAACAGTTTCTGTAGTCTGTGAGTGACACAGGGAATTTGCTTTTTATCATTTGACTTCTCGCACTTAGTTCTTGAATAACATTCAACTGCAACTCGAAGTTGGACATAGGTGAGTATAGTTAGGAGATGCTCCGATCTCTCCTCACTCAGTTCTTCACATAGTTTTTCTATGAACCAAGATACCTTTCCACCTTTCTTCCATGAAACATAACCTTAAGAGGAAATACGCAAAAATAACTAGTGTTCCCACAAATGGAAAAACATGCTAACTGCTGTTTGCTTACCATAAACTGTTGCAAATGCAACCAAAAAATCAGTTTCCACTTCAAACAGACTTGGCTCATCGCCCAGGTCATCACTATCATTCGCTTCTCGAAAGACTCTGTCTTTCACTACAGGCAATTGAACTCCATTATCATAGCGATGTCCACGACAAGCCTGAAATTGCAACAATCATTGGTAAAAGAAAAATAAGTGATCACATGGAATCAAAGAGTTTCTTACTTGAATAAAAAATAATTTGGGTTTTCCGGAGAGTGTTGGACATCTATCTGCAGTGAAAGGCGACCACAGTAGTTCTTGGGGATAACTATCATTCTGAGCATACAACCTTCCCTCCTCTCCATGAGTTAGGACAATAACTGCCAGGCAGTCACAGTTCAAATGATCTTCTTGACTCACTTTATTAAATATTACGTCCCAATTCACAAGAAATTAGTGGGTGATTGAAGATGAGAACATTCCTTTGCAATTTCAAGACTAAGACTGAGGATTTAATTATCATGGGCAGGCATTGGACGCCTATCCATTCAATTGTTATTAACGTATCTTACCTTCATTCAATACATTTTCAATAACATTGACGTTCAAATTGAAATACTTCTTTACTTTGAAGCCCAAACTTGAAAAGCATTCATTTAGCCTTTCTGTGTCAGTTTTACAACCTTTTCGCCTCTCCAGTCCTAAACAAGGTTCCTGCAAATGAAGTATTCTGTCAGATGTAAAGAGGGTAAATATTAGTAATCATTACATTTAGTTGTTAAGTTAATTCTCATACAAAATCTGAGTGAACAAAAATTAAAGCTTTTCCTCGCTGTCCATGATTCATCTTGTACTTGTGGGAATCTCTGATACTGTAACAAGGGTCATTTTGTAAGAGTTCTTTAGAGCCCAAGATGATAATTTAGTAAACAATAAATTATTCAAGAATCCCAGGAACAAAATCCTCTGCAAATGAAAAATGTATAAGGGGAATAACTCACATGCCATCTTCTTGAGTTGCTGCCATCTTGAAAAGCTTGGACCTGACTGAGGTGGGACCTGCACCTGCTGTATAGTGCAACTGCGCTTTATGGTCTGATATTGAGCAGATATGATCAGCGGAGTAGATATAAGGCATCGCGGGGCCGATAGCGCGGACCTTGCAAGGAGGGGGGTGGGGATGAGTGGTAGGAGGGCAGTGGTTCAAGATAAAGGTCTCTGTAGAGCACATTGCACTTGCTAAAAGTTTCTTTGCCCATCTTTTCTTTAACTTTAATAATCTGATACAATATTAACAGTTTTATCAAATAGGCACAGACTTATTCCGGACAGAACCAGAAACATCCCTGTCAGCATCCCTGGAACACAAGAGTGACCAACAATGTATCACTTTATGTTTAAAATAAATCACACAGTGCAATTAGAAAAGGGTGGATTATATCACCCCAATTTAAAGCACTTACTCGAGTTTGGTTTTCCTTCCCCAACAAACCAGCCTGAGATGGCAGTGAAAACAAATGTCAGGGAATTTGAGATTGGCACAGCTAATGACATTTCTGAAAGAAGAGCAACTATTAAGAATTAAATTTATTTTGTTCAAAGTGTATGCATAGAATATAAACTAAACCCACCTGTATTCTGAAGAGTAAGAAAGTAGACAACGGACCCTGACTGATTGAGGATGAACGGTACCATGTACTACATGTAAAATAAAAATGGTACTAGTAAATATATTAATATTTTTTTTAACGCTGCTTGTGAAAACATAAGGAATTAAGCATACCCTCCAATTAGTCAAAAGAAAATAAATTTCTTTGAAAAATCGGGTTATAATGTTGCTGCCTTCAACCCTTTCCATTCCTTTGGCGCCTTTCTTTATAAATGGGTTTGTCCCACCCCATAATATACCAACAACGGTCAGCCAAAGAAGAGACTCTGTTAAGAAACATGAATGCATGGACTGTTAAAACAGAATTGAAATCATTAATTCCAAATGACAACACAAGGATTACAATCAAGGTAAACCAAACAAAAGCAGGAAACAGTTCATTTGAGTTGCAGAATGAAAGATTAAATAAATACCTAAGTTTGCAGACATTTCAATGAATGAAATGAGCAAAATTTGCAGACGGCTGACACCGGCTCGATCAACAACAAAAACAAGCTATAGCACGGTCAGTATAACATTAGCAGCAATGGTACCAATTCATGTGGCTGAAACTCATTGCCCGTAACAGAGATAAACGCTCGTTTGTAGTTTCTTTGAGGGAAACTGTTCTCTCTTTCCATAAAATTCTCCATTCCTGTGATTCTTGAGTTAATATTTCTTAACTACTGGGACAATGTTGCCGGGTGCTTCATTCAAATATAATTAGCTCGAGGTTGGTACAACCAGCGCTTTTCAAAGTTGCGAAGAGCATTAGCGGTCCCCTCGAGTCCTCGAAACTTGGCAAAAAGAAGATTGATTCACTAAACAATCAAACACAAAAAAAAACGCGTGGTGGTTTTCTTTCCTGAATGCACCAAAAGCCAGAAGCTGGCCGCACCGCAAGGCCCCAACCTGAGCCTGAAGCGCCCACCAAAGAGTGGGTAGGCCAACCTGCAGGACGCTCCCGTTGCCCGGGCTTGCCTACCCTGCACTTCGCAGGGGCTCCGGCGGCGCTGGGGCACGGGGGGCCTGCGAGGGACGTCGCTTGTCTCTGGCGGCGGCACGGCTGGAGATCCCGATCTTCGTGGCCTGGCGTAGCCTGGCGGGGTGCGGGACATGTGCCCCAAGGCCCCAAACCAATACAGCCGCTCACCTTCCCCTTTGGGCGGCACTGCACTTGCTGGCTTTGCTGTCCGTCCAGCCTCCCCTCCAGCCAACGACCACGTCACCTGGGAAGGTGCTCGACGGCCGGCTGGGCAATAAACCGAGGACCGCCGAGGACCCCGCCCGCCAGGACAGAGCCAGCGCTAGATTGTGTAACAGGAGGCTCGAATGAGGGGCATTAGCGCGGCATTAGCGGCATTTGTCGGATTCATCTCCCAGTGTCGGCGTCCAGACAGGGCAGGGGCGCCCCGCTCCGGGCCTCCAGGCTGCTCCAGGCTCGGCCCAGACGCTCGCCCTGGACGTGCTCCTTGACTCGCCGCTACAGGAATGTTTGTGCCATGGTTTGTGCGAACGAACTTGGCCTGGCTCGGCTGGGCTCGGCTCCATCGCGACTCGGCTCGGCTCCGGTCGTTGTTGATGTTGTTGCTGGCGGAGGGGTCTGGCGGCGGCGCGGCGCGGATGCGTCGGAGGGTGAGACGGGGAGGAGGAGAGGCCCGACCAGACGGCCCTTCCCGGTGGAGGGGGAAGCAGCCGCCAGCCCGATCGCTGTGTGGCCGCCCAAGAGCGCCCCGCCACGCGCCAGCGGGCTGCGGCCGCGGCCGTGCCGGCCAGGTCGGCGTCGTGGGGGCGCGCGGTGCACTGCAAGGGCGGGAGCGGTTTCGCTACGACGCGACGCGGTGGGCACGGCACGGCGCACGGCGTGCGTGCAACTCAGTTGGTTGTCGGGTTCGGCAGAGGCAAGGCGACGTTCGCGCCGCGCCCCGAGTGCGCCGTGCCGCGCTCTGCTCTGCCGTGTTGCAGAGGGCCGCGCAGGCACGGCACAGGCACGGCGAGACACGGCCGCACGCGTGTGCAGTGCAGTGAGAGAGAGAGCGACACGCCGCCCATTGGATTACCGGGCCGACCCAGCTAGTCCCAGCGAGCCTTACCGGAAATCAGAGGTAATTAACAAGGCGCACCTGGCCTGGAGGAGCAGTCGGACGCAGTCCGGCCCCGAGTTCCTTTTGCCATTTGCCATTCCTCCCGGCCGCGGGGCGTTCAGGGCAGCGCCGCGGCCGCGCACCAGTTTGTTTACAAACAATGAGGCTTACGGCCAACGCGGGGCCAGTGCGCACGCGCAGAGCGTCGCAGAGCGCGCTGCGGCACCACCATTCGCGGAGCAACATCCCGAAAGGCCCGAAACGCCGAGCTACGCGGGACCGCTGTCAACGGGCACCCCATTCACGGGCTGCATCGGGCTGCACAGGACTTGCAGCAGCGCGCCGCCGCCTGCTGCGCCGCTCGATGGCTGACGTCACAGCGTCGCGGCCGAGGAGCACCGAGGAGCGGCGCCGCACGACCCGCACGCCGAGGCCCCTTTTGGTGCGCCGCCAACGGCCGCCAACGGCCGCCAACCCAACAAAGGCCCTCGACGACGAACGCCGAGCCGTGCGCTAAATGACAAAGGGCGCGGCGCACGCAGCCAGCCAGCCTGCGCACGCGTGCGCGGGGTCGCCGAGCGTGTCTGGCACGCAGGCAGCGCACGCACGCAGCGCACGCGGGGCCCTCGATCGCCGCGATGTGCCGGAAGCCGTTCCGGATGTCGTCCCGCTGCAGCGCGGTGCAGCGACTGCGGCGTGCGGCGCGGTGCAACGCCCCCTTGGGCTGCTGGGCCCCTTGGGCTGCCTTTGGCGGGCACGGCCGGCGCGGCGCTACTCAATGAAGGCAGCGCCGTGATTGGGCGTGACTTGCTTCATCGGCCGCACGCACTCAATGGGCTCAGTGGGCGCCGCGTTGCTGCGTCGTTGCGCCACGCCACCGCGCGTCCTGGCGTCGTCCTGGCGTCATCCCGACGACGTCCGCGCTATCTTCAACACGGAGGCATTCGTCTGGACGTACCTGTTGTCTCGGCACTTGACGCGGGTGGTCCCGCCCGGGCACGGTCCGGGTACCGTCCGGGAACGGTACGGTCTGGCTGGGCGGCGGGGCCTGGGCCGGCCCATCCCTGGCCCCGGCCGGGTACTCCAGCCAGGCACTCCAGGTACTCGCACCGATTCCAGAGAGCCGGCTATCTGAGCGGCGCGCGGCCGCGAGTTACGCCACTGTTCGCGCGTCGCCTTGCTCGAGCCTCGCTGCATTATTGCTGCGGAATGGAACCGAAGCCGAGCTCGGCGCGCCCCGGCCCGGCGTGTTCAAGGACGCTCGGCTCGGCTCCCTCAGCGCCCCGCCGCACATCTACACGCCCCGGCCGGGCCCGCTCCGCGACCCGAGCTCCACTCGAACGGCTCGAGCTCCGAGGAACTGAACTCGAACTCTTGCCGGCTGGAGGTCTGGCGGGTCTGGCCGGGTCGTGTTTCTGTGCAGCAGCGGCACTGTGGCACGCTGTGGCACTGCAAGGTGTAGCAGTGTAGAGCCGACAGACTTCGGCCCCATTGTGCCGCGCAACTGAATCCGGAGGAAAGGCTAGCCAGCGCGGCGAGCAAGCACCAAGCCCGGCCGGCCGGCCAACTCGGATAAATAATGCGAGGAAGTAACTGACGTGCCGGGGAGACGGGGTGAGCACGAAATGCAAATGGGGCTCGACAGACACGCTGCCGCGGCGATATTGAACGCCAAATGCCAGTCCAGAGGGCGAGCTGAGTTTGCGATGGCGTGCGCGATACTGAGCCATTCGATCCAAACGCCAAGTCCGTCGACTCGCGGATGTGGTGGCGGTGCCGGTGGTGACACCAGAGGCATTGGAGTTTATCTGGAAAGCGGCCCCTTTTCACCTCGACCCCGGGAATCCACTTTGGTGGCTACTATACTCTCCGTCAAAACATTTTATTTTTTTCAGCCACGCGCGCCGCGGCTTTGGCTTTCGGGGCGTTGGCACGGCACTGTGTGGCACGCGGAAAGGGAACCTGCTTCTCGGACGGGATGAGGCGGTCACATTAGCATAAAGTTTACTACGGCGGGAAACGTAAACAAGACGTTCACACACTTTTCGTTTTCGAGTTGTTTTTATGGCCGTGACAGTGCTGCAGCGTCGTGAGGGCAAACCCGAAAAGCCGTTGTGATGCTCGAAGCAACTTGATTCGACATTCTCCAGAGAGGTAATCTGGTGACTTGAGCGACATTGGGAGGAGCACTCACCTAAGTCTTGCTGGACTCGGGCTGCTTCGGCAAAAAGCCATCATCGTGGGTCCACCGTATGAGAAACGTTGCGGCACGCTGCGTGCCCCAGTTGAACCAAGCCAATCAGAGGCAAGCAAGTCACGTGACCGTGGCGCCTCTTTTACTGTAGGCTCTTTAGTCCACCGTGGCTGAGATCCGCTGGTCCTGTTCCACCGTTCCACCAGGTCCGTCGTCAGCGCCCGCCCAACTGTCCCTTTTGACTGTTGACACTGCGTGCGCACTGACTGACTGCTCGACGACCAGCTGCCCTGCCACCACCCTTCCCCCTCCCCTCGGCCGGCGGCCCCCGACGCCCTCTGACTGACTGACCGGACTGACTCGGGGCGCTGAGCCGTGTCTCGGGCGAGCGACCGCTGAGGCTGGGATGCTGCTGGGGACGCCCTGTCCGGACGTACCGGCGCGGCGTGGCGGCGTGGCGTTTCTCTGCCGACAGGTCTGCCGAGTGGAGTGGCGGTTTTGATTGAGAGGCTTTAATTCGTGCCGCTGATGCTTGCTGCCTTGCTGCCGCATCCGTCAAAGGGGTCGTCAGTCGCCACGAAAACGTGTGCGAGAAAGCGCCGCCTTTCTCTCTCCTCCGCGGTACTTACAGTGACCCGGCCGGGCTTTGTTTCCTCTGCGTCTTGATTGCGAGTCGACCGTTACCTGTTGTTACTTCGTGTGGCATCGCCCGGCATCGCCAGGCATTGCCCGGAAAAGCCCCCCCCCCTCTCCCCCACCCCGCCGTGCGCCGTTCCCCGCGCGGTTCCCCGCGGTTCTCGTCCAAACCGACAAAACGAGACGTAAACGGGCGCGGGCTCTGCCCTGGGCCTCTCATGACGGAACCGCGGCCGCGTGGTTTGTCTGCGGCTGCAGACCGATTCCGAGAGTCGTTTTCGTCGCTCTGTCTCTCTCGCACGCATGAGGCGCTACGTACAGGTGCGAGAGAGACAGACCGACGAAAACGACTCTCGGAATCGGTCTGCTGGCTGAGGGTGTTTGGCGGTCGCTGCCGCCGGTCGGTCACATTGCCCGCTGCAGTCTGGTCACGTTCTGGCGAGGCGGTGCGACGCGGTGCGACGCGGCGCGCTGCGAGGCCCATCGGCGGCGTGTCTGTCGTGTCACGACGCGCACGCGTGCCGGCCCAGCCCCGCCCAGCCCCGCCCAGCCCACGGCAGCAATCGGGAAGAGACACGCACGATTACAATCTCGGGTGCTTCCCCGCAAAGTATGCACGGACGGGTGCGCGTAAAGTTCTCATAGTTAATTAGATTTGCCGCAGCCAGGCTGTGCCGGGCTGGCCGGCCAGGCCGGTCCCTTGACCTTTACCTTGGCCGGACTTGGCCGGGCCCCTAATGGTGCGTGTAGCGAGGGAAGCCGAGCGACCTGGCTCCGCGCGGCTCCGCCTGGCTCACGCACGTACGCACGCTCGCACGCGAGCGCGCCGCTCCGCCGCCCCAGTATGGCGCGGGGCGTGGCGGGGCGTGGCGGGGCGTGGCGGGGCGTGGCGTGCCGCGCAGACGGGCAGACGCGCCGGACTTCTCTAAAAGCAGAGGTGGGAAGCAGCCAAGCAGCGCGTCGTCGGCCTTGCCTCCGGTGCCTTGCCGGTCGCGTTTTCTGGTTTTCTTTCCCGGGTTGATAGTGCATCGGCAATCGATTGTCGGAGTGCTGGCTGCGCCGGCAGACGGAGCGCAACGCCGGCCACTGTACTGTCTGAGTCGCCGGGGCGCAGTGGCGGATCCAGCCAGACAGCCCTGGGCAGGGGGGGGGGGGCAAAGTAGCACGTTTTGCCTGCTTTTGGCAAAAGGTTGCCTGCCTTGCAGGCGGCTACCAAGGGGCCAAGGGCGCCATTGTCGGGTCCGCGCTTATGCAGTCCTGGAGTGGGCAGCGGCGCGTCGCAGGGCGCTGCAGGGCCGCGAGGACGCTGGCCGGCCTACCTTGAACCGAAATAGATGTAAAGATGGCGCGGCTGGCGGCCGTCCAGTAACGCACTCACTCGAGCACTCACTTGATTCGTCCTTCGTGTCTCAGTCGGCGCGGGGCTGCGCGGGGCGGCGCGGCACAGTGGGCCAGAAGACCGGTGGAGGCGGCCAAAACTGCGGACGCGTTTTGAGCTCCAGAGTCGCTAAACTGGCCTCGAACCGAACGTGTGACCCCACCAATGGCTTGCTCTTCGGACGAGGAGTCCATTGGTGGGGTCACGCGTTCGGTTCGAGGCCTGCTTAGCGACTCTGGAGCTCAAAACGCGTCTAGAGTTTTGGCCGCCTCCACTGGTCTTCTGGCCCACTGTGCGCGGGGCGAGGACGGCAAGGTGCACGCGTGGTGTGCTACTTGGTGGGGACTCGTCGTGGCTAAAGAGCCGGGAGGCGGCCGGCTTGCTAGACCTCGTGAGTCACCCTCTGCGCTTTGGCTCCGGCCGGCCGGGCCCAGGCCGGGCCCTCCCCGTTCACCCGCTGCACGGGGTGCCCGGCGTGCACGCAGGGGCCGCGTCCGAACGAGCCTTTGGCTGCCTTTGGCCGCGTTCCCGGCCGTCGTGGATCGATGCCCTCCCTCGCGCCACTGCGCGCCCCGCCGGCGGGGACGGCGGGGCCGCGGGGCAGTGGAGCCACTGGCGGAGGCACCAGCCCGCCAGCCACAGGCAGCCACAGGCACCCTTACAGAACGAGAAGTCCTGATGCAGGCTGCTGGGATGGACTAACGAGGGACTGGTGGTGGGACTGCTGGCATACTGGGCGGACTCTGGCCGACAGGTTGACCGAGGGGTTGAACGGGTTGAAAAGGTTTCATATCTAGGACTGATTTCAACCTGGCGCTAGGCTCAGAAAAATCCGACCAGTCCGCAGGTAGTCCGAAAGTAGTCCGAAAGTAGTATCACCTGTCCGCGCTCAAACCGGGGGAAGGGGGTGCGCTCCCACCCCCACCCCCCACCCTCACCCCCACCCCCTCATTCCCTGCCCCTGAAATTAGGGGTTGCTCACCCCAACCCCTCCTCCCTCGGAGGTTTCGGGAGGAACCCGTCTCTCCCGCCCTTCCGGCCTTGGTGCCCATGTGGGTGGTGGAACAGGTAGAGAGTAATAAAAGCATTATCAAAGTTGCAGTATTATACATATTGTATTCAATTATTTCAGGGACAAATAATTAAACAATTAAGTTAAATGCACTAAATAAGATAATGCCGATCAAAGTTGCAGTATTATACATATTGTACTCAATTATTACAGGCACAAATAATTAAACAATAGAGTTGAATACACTAACTAAAATGATGCCGCCAACCGAAGAGTTAACCAGTAAGAGTTAGCCATTTGTTCCTTTAAAAGTGTTCCTAATTGTTACTAATGTCCATAAGAATACTCCCTAATGAAGCGTCCTTCTGCGGTGACTTCTGGGGTGTCCTTGGAGTCACCTGGTTGCCATGCGAACCAGGCGGAAGGTGGTGGTATGGTGGGTACTGATACCCATCATACTGATGATAGCTCTGTTGCTGGGGTATTGGCTGCTGATACTGGACATACTGCGCCGGCGCCACTGGCTGTTGAAATTGGTTGTATCCGGGATGTTGTCCTTGGATGTAGGTCGAATGCTGATGGTGGCTGACCGGGGGAACTGGAGGAACCGGGGGAAGGTGGTTGTAGGCCGGGGGAACCGGGGCAAGTTGGTTGTATGCCGGGGGCGGATCCTGTTGACGCTGGTTCTGGTTCCATTGATGGCCCACACTGGCACTGAAAACGTGGAAGAAAAATTAAGCTAGATTTTAAGGCCTTGTAACGCCCGGCAGGTAGGCAAACTGACTCCAAAACGCTTTGGTGTGCGATAGGTTGCCTACCAGCCGGGCGCTACGTTGCACCACTATCAACTTTCCTAGTCTCAACAAGACACTATCACAAGAGAGTTCTGAAGACCTACCTTGAGTTAGATGAAGGCCTGCCACCCTCAAATGGGACCATTCGATGCCCTGACTGGCTTGGCTGTATTTTGATAGGTGACACTTCCCATAGGGTTTTAGCTGGTGATGCCACATACAGTCTGGCTTTCTTGGTGCAGTTGGATTCATCGGCGGGCAATTCCCTGCAGAGAATGAAAACATTGTAACAAAAACTATAGTAGAAAATAAAGTGCAAAAAAAGTTAAAATTGTGTACCTTTTTTCACCCTTGCCAGAATCAGACTTTTCAGTTACTTCATCACTACCGCTTGCGTAATCTGCAGCACTGCCATCATCATCATCATCTTTTTCTTCAGGTTCATGACTATCACTGTCATCGCTATCAGAGGTGCGACCCTTAGTGGACTTCTTTCCACTACCAGAAGGGCTGCAAAATAGGGACAAAATAATAGAAAAAAAGAATTTTTCATGTGCACAGTTGGAGATACTAAAATTACCTTTTGGACTTGTGGCGCAAGCCACTACTCATCTGGTTGCACGTTCTCACTAGAGCAGACTGTGACCACTTGGCTTTCTTCCTGGATTCTTCAGTTGTGTTAGACTGCACAAAGCCTGAAAATATTAAAAATAGTATTATAATTAAATATAAAAAAGAAGCAAACACAGAACAGTAAATAATAATTACTCTGAATGGCATCCAACACATATTTCTGGAGCGACTTTGTCCCAGACATCTTCATTAGCTGATCTCTGCCGTAGAGTTCAGTAAGGGCTGCTCTGACGAGGGCTCTAGGATCATCTCCACCGCTTAATAAAATTCTGGACAGCCCTGCCTTGGTGACTAGGACACCATGATGTTTCACCAAATCCACCTGAAAAGAATTTGGCTTTAGCAACTTAAATCTACAAAGAGAGTTGAGTGTATCAATACTTAATGCTCGCACCACTTTCAATCCAGGAGGAAGTGGTTTCAGAACCAGTTGATAAAATTGGTCGTTGTCAGGGCATTCCTTGTACCTCTCTCCAAGGCCCATTCCAAAAAACTTAACTAAATCTGACAAAAAGCATTCAATGGCAGCATTTCCTGTTAATTGTAAAGAATTTTGATTAAAACAATACAAAAAGGAAATAAAAAGGATTAGTCAAATTTTAAATTTAAACAAATAGACTACAAAAAAATTACCATGTTTCTTCAACAAATGACATTTGCTGCAGGTTGGTTCAGATTTTTGAGAATTTTCTTCTGAAGAAACTTGCTCTTTGTGAGTCTTGGAGTCAGATTTGCTGCAGGTTGGTTCAGATTTGTGAGATAGTACTTCTGAAGAAACTTGATCGTTGGGAGTCATGGGGACAGATTCATCCTCAGTAACTAAATCATCTTCAAAGAGCTTCTTCTTGGCGGAACCTGGCTCAAGGTCCTTAGACAGTTTCTCGTCCAATACCATTTCAGCAGCTCTTTGATTTTGACGATCTTTCTTCTTCGATTGATCTATCTCTTTCTTCTTCTTTGCTTGGCCAGATGGCACAGGGCATCTCTCATTAAGGGCTGAGCTGATCTGCTTCTGAGTGGCGGCACTCCCTTTTGGCTGTGATGGTTTAGAAATTCGTTTCGTTGCTACTTTGGCTTTCAATTCCGCAGCTATTTCAAACTGAAGCTGAGTGCAACGTTCATCTGCTTTAACTTTGTCGTCTGAAACATGAAAATAGATAATCAGACATCCATGGATGGAAATCATTGGAGACAAAGATGTCAAGGGGAGCAAAGCACAACTATTCAAAATGGACATTTATCAGTTGTGGACTGTTGCATCACTATTCACGAGTTGTGCACTGTACACCACTGAGAGAACGAGGTTGGTTTGATAAGGTTAACTCGAGAGTTTTTGATCATGCGTCAGTTAAGCTATGAAGCTATCCGAAGTCACTTTCGACAGAAAGCAAACCAGATGGGAGTAATCGCACTCGCTTGTAACAACGCTACAGATTGAGGTTATGTAAAGATGGAACTCGGGGATTTTAAGTTCGCTGGAAATGCGTTTGAAGAGTAGATTGTGGGAAAGCCCAGAATTTAAGACAGAACATAGAGGAGAATGTGTACTAACCTGTTAACATGATGACTTTGGCAGGCCATCGTTTCTTTTTATGTTTGACCATCGTAACTTTCCCTTCTTTCCTATCAGGCGGTAGCACATTGCCGATGTCGGTCACTCCAGCTTTCTCCTCATTAATCCAATGAACTACAGCGTAGGTCGGCATTTCGGCCCTCTCTTGACACTTTTTCACTAGGCTTGGTCACGAAATCACGCACTAGATAGTTCGTTAGGCTTGCAATGGAGGGAAGGACGTTACACAAGTCGCAATGCATCATGGGAAGAAAACTGTTGCCAACACTCAAAAGAAGTTTTTCCGAATCTTTAAAATAAAATTCTTTGTCCTCAGTATCACTTTAATGATAGAAAATTGTTAAAAAGTTAAAAAATTAGATAGTAATGGAATTTAAATGTAAAGAGGTCAATTATTTTTAAAATGTTTGTACCAGAATAAATCTTTTTGTGGATTTCGTAAGTTGGCATAGAGGCCTCACAAGCGCGGCGGTGTGTAGCGGTGGCGGTGATGGCAGTGTAGTGGCAGTGCAGTGTAGTTTTGTCGGTCTGCTCCTGCTGGCTGCTGCCCATGTCGCATTTTAAACCATTTTATATGTTTTTAACTTTAAAATTTTACTCGTGACTAATGTGCGACGATGGCAAAGGGAAATCTAAGAGCCAGCGGTGGAGGAACAAGAGACTGTTTGAAAGTCGTGAGATTGCAGCTCATGAATCTGATAACGAAAGTAGTAGTGATGACGAGTTTCAAATTCCACATGGAATACTTCTACACCGACAACAAAGGCGTGATGAATCTTCCGAAGGTAATGCTCAAGGTGTGAAATCAACACACAAATTGTCTCAACTCTGACTTTTCGTTTTCAATCACGTAATCCTAACCTACACCACCCCTACGAGCAAACTGTTTTGACGCTAATTTGTCAGCCAGCATACTCAAGGATCTTTGTTGGAATATTTAAGAAACTTTACATTCCTTCCTGCTGGAATATTCTTTTGATTGTGTCCTCCTAATAACTCAGTTCATGAAAACCATTCTACTTTGTATTGTGTTGATTGCATAAAACTTTTGTTGTAAGTTATCTTTGATTTCCAGATCCCAATTCTGACTCCAATTCAACAGCAGGTGCTAGTCCTGATTCAAGTCGAGGAGAAGGGAGTGCAGATTCCAATCAACAAGAAGGGAGCGAGGGAGATGCTGGTTCAGGGAACCCTGAAGCAGGCTCGCCAGAACAACATTCGAGGTAAGTTTAACTTTTTTGAAAAGGTGCAACCAAAATGGGCTGAAAATGTAAGTTTTCCTAGAAATAGGTGTACAAGATGTAATGTTTTTTTTACGTATTATCACTTTCTAAAGAATTAAACCCATCGATACTCCATGTGCAAGGAATTTTCAATGCTGGACATTATGGGCGGTCTTTTGTACTTGATGATTCCAATGAGCCTATTGTGGTAGCATCTTGTTAAAAGAAATTTACATACTGTACCTTGTTACTTTTACATAATTTAATGAGTTTGTAAGAAAATTCTTGTTTTATTTTCAGCCCACGAAACAGTTTGGATGATGAGCACTTGCAACAGCATGAGGCGCAAGAAAATAACTCAAAGTATGTTTGTTATTATTATTGTAATTGTTTTCCACCTTTAGTATGGATTATTCATTTTGTCACTTTGTTCAGCGCAAGTAACAACAGTGGGCGTGATGAAGGACTTCATGATGGAGGCAACTCGAGTGGTAGCAGTATTCCTGATGAACAACACGAACAAGCAAATAACTTTAAGTATGTTTTTTTTTATTTCTTTAACCTTAAGGCTTGCTTTGCATTAAAAAATATTAACACCACATTTGTTATCTTCCACAGTTCTGATGATGAACACGTGAGTGACAGAAGTGCTATTTCCGATAACTCTGGAAGTGAACAGAATGATGTGTCTGATTCTGAAGAAAGTGACCATGAAGAGTCCAGCGCTGATGAAGATCCACCTCAACCCGAAGAAATACCATTGTATCCAGGGGCTCCAATAACTCTGGGTCAAAGTCTTCTATCCATCCTTACATTTAGTATAGTTCATCAGCTGTCTGGTGCTTGTATAGCAGATTTACTGGGATTAGTAACACTGCATTGCCCTCCAGGCAACTCATGTGTACAATCTCTTCATAATTTTAGGAAGCATTTTTCCGGTATGGAGCCATTTGTCATGAAAAGGCATTACTTTTGCTCAAGTTGTGTTTATCCCCTAGATGAGGAAAATGGTATATGTGATGTATGTCACAAAGGAAATAATTCCTCATATTTTATTGAATTGCCTATCAAGAATCAGTTAGCTAAATTGTTAGCAAGAGAAGGTTTTTATGAAAAACTGCAGTACAGGTTCAACCGTCGTAAAATTAATAATGACAATATTGAAGACATTTATGACGGGGCACTCTATCAAGAACACTTCCTTGAAGGTGGATTTTTGAGTAGTCCTGATAATGTATCTTTTCTTGGGTATACAGATGGAGTCAGGGTTTTCTCCACATCATCCACAGAAGTGTGGCCTATTTATTTTCAGATTGATGAGCTTCCCTATAAAGATAGAGTGCAGAAACAAAATGTTATACTGGCAGGACTGTGGGTTTCAACCAAACCACCTAAACCAAATGTTTTTCTGAAACCTTTCCAAACAGCTTTAAATGATTTTCAGGAAAATGGTTACCAATTACCTGTTCATGGTCAAGGTGAAAGACTTTTCAAAGGCATGCTTTTAGCGTGGACTTGTGATCTGCCTGCAAAGGCCAAATTTATGCGTATGATTGCCCACAATGGGTTCTATGGCTGTAGTCGATGTGAAACACCAGGTGAAAGCTTTGATCTTGGAAGAAGCACAGTTCATGTGTATCCATTCTCACCTCATGTAATTCATCGTCAGCATGATGATTTTAGAGTGTATGCTGATCAAGCTAAGCAACTCCGAAGAATTGATCCTGATGTTAATGTAAAAGGTGTGAAAGGACATAGTCTACTCCACAGTATGGTCCCTGATAGTGTCAGATCTGTAGCCTGTGACATAATGCATGGCTGTTTTCTTGGGATTTCCAAGTTATTAGTTACTTTATGGTTTGACTCTGCCCATTCTGACCAGCCATTTTCTCTTAATCATGTAGTAGATTTAGTTGATAGTCGCTTAACAAAAATTTCTCCTCCAAGTCATGTACAAAGAATGCCTAAGGGCATAAAAACCCAGCTGGCTTACTGGAAAGCTTTAGAGTACAAAATGTTCTTAGTTTATTATTCTGTGCTGGTGTTAAAGGATTTGATGGACCCACAATATTATGAACATCATTGTATGCTTGTGTCTGGTTTGTTCCTCTTAAGTCAAGACTCTGTGTCAAATGATGACAAGAGGAGGGCCTCAGAGTTACTGAGAACCTATGTTGAGAGATTTCAGGATTTATATGGGCTGCGGTGGCTTTCTTTGAATGTGCACCTGCTTTTACACTTACATGAATGTGTCGAAGATCTTGGCCCCCTTTGGGTGTTCAGCTGCTTCCCATGGGAGGACTTAAATGGAAAACTCATTAAATTAGTCCATGGTACGAGATATGCAGGACTACAAATTGCAAAAGCTGCTTCGTGTGTTATGAACTTGCCTATTTATGTGAAAAAATTACCTGATGGTGCTGTTAAATCTTATTGTGATAATCTGCTTTATTCTAAGAGAAAGGTTAAAGTGGCAGAAATAATTTCAGAAATTGAAGAAGCTGTTGGTACATACAAGCACTTCCACACTGTACCATATAGGTTACGCTTGTTACTACAAACTTCACTAGGCCTTGTTCAAGGTAAAGTTTCTCTGTTTCAAAGGCTTAAAAGGAAGGGTGTGATGTATTACTGCACAAGTTATGGAAGGTCTACCAAGAAAAACTCATCCTTCTTGCTATATGAAGATGAACAGTTTTCAGGCTTCTGTGCTGTTGATTTTTTTTTAAAGTGGACGTCTTGTAATGACAATTGTGTTCAAGGCTGTAGGCAATGCAATGCTCAGTTTCTCTTTGTAGGAACTAGGTATGAACGTGAGATTTGGGCTGTGCATGACATGGATGATATTCGATTACCATATTGCTCTAAGGTCCGTCCAACTGAAGACAGTGTTGTGTTACCCATAAGTTGCATTGCAGGGCTGTGCCATTTTGTACAAATTGATAATGAAGAATTTATTCTTACTGACATAAACCGACTGGAAGTAGAATAAAAGACTGAATAAATTTTTTTAATGTTTCTCTTTATTTTCTTGTGTGTTATTATTTTTAACCACGTCCGCAACTGGCGGTCGCAATGCCCCATCCTCACAATCAAGCAGATGGCCAGCAGAAGGGGCCCAAAACGCGTTCTTTGGCGTCCTGGTTGACGGGGCACCGCGGGCAGGGAGGCTTCCTCGACGCCGTCCTCGCGAGGGCGACGACGGCAGCGCGGTGCAGGGCTGCAGCCAGCACCTCCACGACGTTGGTCTTGGCCTCCTGGTTGACGCGGGGCAGGGCGGGGCAGGGAGGCTTCCTCGACGCCGTCCTCGCGAGGGCGACGACGGCCGCGCGGTGCAGGGCTGCAGCCAGCACCTCCAGGACATTGGTCTTGGCCTCCTGGTTGACGCGGGGCGGGGCGGGGCAGGGCGGGGCAGGGAGGCTTCCTCGACGCCGTCCTCGCGAGGGCGACGACGGCCGCGCGGTGCAGGGCTGCAGCCAGCACCTCCAGGACGTTGGTCTTGGCCTCCTGGTTGACGCGGGGCGGGGCAGGGCGGGGCAGGGAGGCTTCCTCGACGCCGTCCTCGCGAGGGCGACGACGGCCGCGCGGTGCAGGGCTGCAGCCAGCACCTCCAGGACGTTGGTCTTGGCCTCCTGGTTGACGCGGGGCGGGGCGGGGCAGGGCGGGGCAGGGAGGCTTCCTCGACGCCGTCCTCGCGAGGGCGACGACGGCCGCGCGGTGCAGGGCTGCAGCCAGCACCTCCAGGACGTTGGTCTTGGCCTCCTGGTTGACGCGGGGCGGGGCGGGGCAGGGCGGGGCAGGGAGGCTTCCTCGACGCCGTCCTCGCGAGGGCGACGACGGCCGCGCGGTGCAGGGCTGCAGCCAGCACCTCCAGGACGTTGGTCTTGGCCTCCTGGTTGACGCGGGGCGGGGCGGGGCAGGGCGGGGCAGGGAGGCTTCCTCGACGCCGTCCTCGCGAGGGCGACGACGGCCGCGCGGTGCAGGGCTGCAGCCAGCACCTCCACGACGTTGGTCTTGGCCTCCTGGTTGACGCGGGGCGGGGCGGGGCAGGGAGGCTTCCTCGACGCCGTCCTCGCGAGGGCGACGACGGCCGCGCGGTGCAGGGCTGCAGCCAGCACCTCCACGACGTTGGTCTTGGCCTCCTGGTTGACGCGGGGCGGGGCGGGGCAGGGCGGGGCAGGGAGGCTTCCTCGACGCCGTCCTCGCGAGGGCGACGACGGCCGCGCGGTGCAGGGCTGCAGCCAGCACCTCCAGGACGTTGGTCTTGGCCTCCTGGTTGACGCGGGGCAGGGCGGGGCAGGGAGGCTTCCTCGACGCCGTCCTCGCGAGGGCGACGACGGCCGCGCGGTGCAGGGCTGCAGCCAGCACCTCCAGGACGGTGGTCTTGGCCTCCTGGTTGACGCGGGGCGGGGCACGGGGTGCTCGTATGAAGGAGCGACGAAAACGACTCCAGGAATCAGTCTCTGGCGGACGGCCAGTGAGGCGCCAATGACGGTGGCCTTGTTGACCGCCAGCGGTGCTGTCGTTGGAAGTAGCTCTTCGTTAGACGCGCTAGGAAACTGCTGATAATCGATCACGAATCTTGTCTAAATCCAAAACAACCTAGACAAATTCCGATTTCCCTATTTCCAGAGAATTGCTGTGGGGGGACGTGGTTGACTGAATTTTCAACCCTCAATATTTTTCTACCCAGCCATCGAATTATTTCGAAACGAAGGAATTTTATTTCTTTACTGGGAATCTCTCACCTGAGTGAAATTCACATCCATACTTACAAGTGTTAATCCCTAGCAAGGAAACAGACTTTTCGCACTTTGGCTCTCTGGCTTAGGTCTTCCAGTGTCAAGTACATGAACTTAAAGGCTGTAAGAAGTGCCTTATTTTAAAATCCAAATTTCTCGAAGACTTGCAGGGTATGAAGGCCTATAGTTGGCTTATTTTTGAGGCGTATGATAAGAATTAATTTGCAAATTGCCATTTTCCCTTGAAACGTTAGTAATTCCCTCCAGACTATCAATATTTTTGGTCTGCGTCGTCTGCACCATGGGGTGAGTGTCCCGCCATTTCGCTTTGCTCTCATTGGCCTTGGAGTGGTCACGTGACGTGGTAGGGGCGTTTGTGCTTCTGTGTGTAGATCAAGATCGCCTTCAGAAAATTGTCAGGGTTAGAAATAACAAGAATTAACGTCTCTTTTAAAAAAACTGTCTCTCTTGGGTGAATCTAGGCAACAGTTTTCAATTTCAAGACCACCAGTAAGTTTAAGACATTTGCATCTTAGCCTCAACAAATCACTCATGTTTTTTTTATGGTTATTTGAGTAAGAGAATGACTATTCTCATAAATACACCACAATTTTTTTTTATTGCTTTTTTAAGAAATTTGTACTCTCTAATGTCCCTGATGTACTCATTCTGCTGCACTTTAAAGGGTAGGCCTATATTATGTCAGTGTTCTCTGTTGCTTTCAGTGTCGGTTCCATTGTTTGCCAACATTGTTGGAATTTTTTTAGAGGATGGTGCAGTTTGTACATACTATGATTTCGCCACACATGGCATTAAGTATGACAGCGGAGATGTAGTGATGCTTCCTCGCCATGACCAGAAGACAGCAGTCGTCATCTTAGGAATTCATGGTATGATTATTTCCTCTGTAGCTTTGTCAAATTATACTGAATGTGAAACTACTGCATTCAGATCACACAATGATGCATTGTTCTAAATGAATGTATTGTTACAGTGATCTTGGGAAAAGCTGCAGAAGCAGCCAAAGTGTATTTCAAACGATTGTGCAAATGGGACGACGTGCCTTACAGTGAAGTAAAAGTATTTGGCCATGAGTTGGCTCCTATCGAGGAGGAAGTTTCTCAAGTGGCCATATTTGAGACTCAAGGAATTCAAGGTATCACTAATCCGAGCACAGGTCTAAATGTAGTCAGGCGCATCCTCTCAATGTGTGAAATATTACTTTTCTGAATTTAACTCCAAACCTAAGCTGAAGGCAAGAATGGAGGTCAACTGTGCCTTGAAGGCTTCAGACTGTACAATTCTACCACACAAATAATGTGCACGTATAGTGACTTACACCCCAAATTTTTAATACATTATTTTTCCTCCAGGGCCGGTGCTTGTCCGAGAAAATGTTTTTTACTTGAATGGCCAGAATGAACCTCAATAAAAGGACTAGATAAATAACTATAATTCTAAAAACTGTCTTTTAACATATTTAATGTTCAGTAAAATCGAAAAATTGAAATTTTAAAATATTGACAACAGAAACAAGTGTTACAATTAAACACATTCAATAAAGTGACACAAAATTATTGAATCATCTTTATGACATCTCTTCCGTGAAGAATCCCCCTTTGAATTTCAGCACAGGACATGGACCTGGAAAAGCAGAGAAAATAGTTTGAAAGCTGCATGACACAGTACACTAGTATACCAAAACTCAGAGCAACAAAACAAACAGAAACACACATTGACACTGTCCTGTAATTTCTCAGAGAGATTTTAATAATTAAGGATAAGTTGCTAGCTTTATACCATAGGAAGCTAATGGCATCTAGAGGCTCAAAGGCCCCTCTGTATGGATCACCAATGTTTGCAAAATAACTGTCGCTAGGGTTCCAGAACCATAGCGTTGCAGCTTTTCCATCATCAAAGAGACTCAAAAATTCATGATTCTTACCTCAAAATAGACGTTTGATTCCGAAAGTAGATCCACTGCGAGGTTGGAGTTGGAGTCCCTCCATCGTGTGAATTCTCTCTAGCAGAGCAGGATATCTAACATCACAGTGTGCTGGGGCCTCTTCACCATAGAGTTGACAATTGTTGATCCCTGCAAACAGGATTTAGAACAAGTTATTAAGATGTTCACAATTGTTTACATAACCACATACATAGGCTTGGCAGTACACATAAAGCTGTGTGAGAGTGTGTCAAGCTGAAAGCAGCTGAAAGGTAGCAACTCAAACATGTCAAATAATATAAAATTCAAAGCATTTGTATCTTGGAAAAATAATCACAAATTGAATAAGCATGAAACTTTACAGTGGATGTTTGGTGCAAACGCTTTCATTGAAAGGTGCCTAGGCACTGAAACACGCTTCGCTTCCAGTCAAGGGCGGTGCAAATAAGTGACGGCAAAGAAATACGGCGAAAAATTCATACTCAAAGGCGACTGCGAGTTATGCAAAGCCAGTGACACAAACTTCTAAGGGAGTACGAAACAGCACGAAGGAAGCAGAAGGAAAACTAACCTCTCTACTTATGTTTTTGTACGACTGCCAACATACAGGCAGTAAACGACCTTCCCAAAGCGCCTTCGACGAGATTGGTCAGGCACCAAAGTTGGTAAGAGTGAATCGATTTCGAGAGATCGCACTCAGCAGACGACGCGCGACGTTTAAAGTGTTTACCTTTTTAAATTCCATCGACCACAAAACATCCAAAAAAAAACCCAAAAAACGTCCCCTTTTTGCGATTTGGACGACACTTGCATAGATGTTTTCTGTTCATCGCGCACCTTTGCGATTACAACAACGGCCACAAGTAATGAACCCACGAAGGTTGATGGGTTGCCTACCGACACGGCGGAAAGGCGAAAAAAGCCGATTATTAATTATTTTTAATTTCTGTCAGAGTTTTTTTTCAATCTGACCATTTCTAAATATTTAACTTATAACTCTATCGCGGCTCTCTTCCCTAGATTCAAAGAGTTTGGGAAGAGTCCGACTAGTCCACCGAGGCAGACTGGGGGTTGACTAGGTTGATGCCCAGTGGTGAGCGGACTGGATGGACTGGGGGCATACTGGTCAGCCAACGGCATACTCTGAGGAGACCAGCAGGTTGACCGAAAGTCCGACCAAAATACTCTGGCACACTGCAGTAGGACCGTGGCACACTGATGCATACTAATGGCAGTCTGTTCGCAACCGCTTTGTGGACTTCTCGTTCTGTAAGGGCAGCCAGCCGATGCGACGCCACGGGACGGCCGCCGGGGCAAACCGAAGTATTTCCGTCCCGCTCTATTTATATGACACCTGAGACGCCGAGCCGAGGGATTCCGCCCAAGGAGTGCGAGGCTTGCGAGGCTTGCGAGGCGCTGGACGAGTTCCTGGCGCCGCGCGACAGCGACCGACTGACTGGCCTTATCCTCGCAGCAACAAAGAGCGCGTCGCGCAGCGTGGCGCGTGCTCGCTGCTCTTGGCTGCTCTTGGCCGAACCGGTCCGCCCGGCGTCTGTCCGCGTCTGTGTGTGAGTGCGTGCGCTCGCGCATGTGAGTGTGTGTGTGGCACTTTTTAGTTCCTTTTATTTCGCGCGATGATCACTGCGTCGATAGGAGATGTGTCTGCGCTGAAGCGGCGTCGACGGAAACGTACCGGCGGACATTCGGGGAATTGCCTGGTGGGCCAAAGAGGCCGAAGCGACGGGCCGGCTGTACACTGGGCGACATAGCCGCGGCACAGCCAAGGCCTAGTCGTTGAGATGCAGCACGAGGAACATCTCCATGGCAATGCTGCGTGAGCTGCGTGAGCCGGAAAGTCCGTCATTACGTTCTCGTAAAAGCGAAAGGTCGGCGGACGCGGTCATCCTGCCAGCCCGCCGGCCAGTCCGTCCGCCATCGGCAGCTGCCGCGGGAGAAATTGCCTTTTATTTTTCAAACCGGACAGCAGCGCGGCGCTGTGCGAACAAGAAGAAGAATGTGCGGCGCTCAGTGCAGTCCGTGCAGCGGCCGCGCCACTCCACACCGCCTTTCGACCTTTCGGCCGTGGGAGGAGCTCGCTGGTCGCGACGTAGTAACGTAACGCTTCTGCGCCGCCGCCGATTTGGGCAGGAAATGTAGGCCAGCAGCGCCAGCAGCATCTGGGCAGCGCGACTGCAGTGGCGGGCGCGGGGTCGCGCTGCTTAGTAGGTCGCTCGCCTATCGACCTGAGCACTCTGTTTGCATCTTTGTCTGCCTGTTAGTCACGAAGTTTGCCCCTTTACGCTTCGCGCTTGGCGCGGCACCTATAGCGCCAGCTAGCGCGGCCCACCCTATGCACGCGCCTAGAGCTAGTTCGATGTAGTAGCCTTGTTGTTCTTAGTGTCATGTTTATTATTTTAAATGTTTAGTTGGTCGTTTGCAAATTTGCCTTTTTATTTATTTGCACCGTGTTGCTTGCTTGCAGCTTTTGTCATGGACCGCGAGACGATTCTGCGCCACCAGCTGGACGCCGGTGGGCAACGGTGAGCATACCCCCGACCCCGTGAGCGCACGGCACGGCACACCGCCGCCAGAAGTCAGCCAAAACCTTCATTGCACTGTTGGACCTTAGTTTGCGGCAACACCGCCCCCGCGGTAAATCTCGCTGCGTATAGAATTGGCACAGTAAAGGAAGCTTCATCCATAGATGTTCACACTCTCTGTACAGCGCTCAGCCCCTTGGGTGGGCTCTCCTCCAACACCGTGGAGACAGACCGCCAGTGGGCACGGGCACACTGTGGCCACACCCCTACCCCCAGCCACCCCCGGCCAACTGCAGTGCTGCAGCGCGGCGTGCGGCGCGCCCTCAAGGACGCCGCCGTGCTAATCGATGACCTTGCCGCCCTGCAGACTGATTGCGAGAGTCGTTTCCCTCCCTCTGTCTCTCTCGCACCCTTCAGAACGCCCCCACCGGTGCGAGAGAGACGGCGACTGTCGGCCCTGCGCTGCGCCTGCCACTCAAAGTGTCCGTCGCTTTGCGGCCGTCTTCTAAATCCAATAACAGTGATGTGACCGGGGTCGCGCCGCGGCAAGGCGGCGACGTCCACGACGTCGTCCGGTGGCCCTGCGCCGCCGCGCCGGTACGGCCGCTATAGTACAGTGCTGTGCTGACAAGTGAGTGCGCCGCCGCTGGCTGCCGCCAGTCAGTGCATAGTGTATCCGCAAGCTTTCGCGCCTGTTCTGCCGTTGGAGCCAGCTCCACTCTGGCGCCGCGGCCGAACGGCCGAACCGATCCTGTCCCAGGCGGCTCAGGCGGGACAACGAGTTCGAGGGCGCTGGCTGCGCTGGCGGACGGACGGTGCAGTCAGTCGCTGTCAGTCGCCACTCTGGAAGTAGCGGTCGCCGACGGACCGGGCGCGCCGTTCTGCCAGCCAGACTGCCGGACTCGATGCGTTTCGGCCGCCCGGTGAGTGAGTGACTGAGTGGCCTGCATGCCGTAGGGGCCCTAGGAGGGGCCCTAGGGGGGTCCTAGGGGGGGCCCTAGGGGGGGGCCCTAGGTGCGCTTGAAGCGCCCATGGAGCCAATCGAAGCGGCGTGGTCGCGGTGACGTCACCCGAAGCGAGGCCGGCTGCGAACGCGGCTGGCGGTGACAATGAGCGAGTGGGAGCGGGCCGCCGTCATGGAGGGTCCGCCCCAGCCCGCCCAGGCTGCAGGCGGTGCAGGCGGTGCGGGTGACAACACGGCGGTGACACACTCCAGCCCGGACGCTCCTGTCGAGCGAGAAAGACATCATGCTCCGGTTTCGTCCCAACGATTTTCTGGTGATTACAAATTGAACCCCCGGGGGCCCGTGAAGTAAAGTCCAGCCGTCGGAGGGTCAAACCATCGCCACGGCTGCGTTTGGGCCAGGCAGGCCGGGCAGCGCGTGCGGCCGGTGTGAGACCGCACTCCACACTCACAGTGCCGCGCTGTGCTGCCTTTCGTTTCCACGGCTAGCCTAATCAAATTCAGGGGCCGCCTTTCCCCGCTGCGCCGCTACGCCACTGACTGGGCGTCGCCCGTCCGTCCCGTCCGTGCGCGTGCATCGGCCGCGTGCATCGGCTCGGCCAGCGCGTCATTTGCATCCAGCTTCGTGAGCCAGGCGAGCCAGCCAGGCGAGCCAGGCGCACCGAGCCGCATTGTAGCGTAGCAGCGTGGCAGCGTAGCTCAAGTGCGCTGCGCCCCGAGCGAGGTGGGCGCCGTCGTGGGCTGCAGGCTGATTCCGCACAGCGCCCCGTCTCTTTCGCACCCTGAGGCCCGCCCCACGAGAGCGAGAGAGACAGCGTTCGGAAACAGCCTTTTGACGGGCATGCTGTGCACTGAAGATGGACGGTAGATGTCCCCTTGCCGCGACCCTGGCGAGTGCCCTGCCGTGCCCCCGGCCCTGGCTGGAGTCTGGAGGGGCGCGCCACGCTCCGCTACGCTGCCGCCCGCAGCTTGTCTGGTCCGGTGTGATCCGGTATCCACCCCCGCGCCGCCCCGCGCCGCCCCCGACGCGCCACCCCAAAACGGCCGGGCATGCGCCGTGGCGACGACGCGGCGGCGTGGCGCGTGGCGTGGCGCGGCCCAGCGCGGCCCCGACGGGATGCAGGCTGGAGCAGCAGCAGCCCGCCGTAGTGGAGGCCAAGGCCGTGGGGATCCTGCAGGCAAACTGCCATCATGCCATGTCGGCCAGGGTGGGGGCTGCTTGCGAGGGGGGCGCCACTGGATGGGAAGGTGGACAATGACTTGAGACTAGATTGACTGACTGTGACTAATTTCAATGGTGACTTTTTCGACTTGTCCCTAACTTTTTGACTTGTCTCTGACTTTCTGACTTTTGTACGGACTTTAAAGACTTTTTGGTGACTTTTTCGACTTTTTCAAGGCGCATCGTGGCCTTAACCCCTTGAATTTAGGCAATATCTCCCCAAAAGTTAGAAGAATTGACTTTTTTTGGCCTTTTTGAGTGGAGTGACTTTTTGACTTATGATGACTTTTTTGACTGAAAAATTGACTTTTTCGGACCCCGGACAATGACTTTTGAAAGTGGCGCCCCCCTCGGCTGCTCGGGTTGCTTTCGGGAGGTTGGCGAGGCGTCTCCCCGGAGAACAGAGGCCATTCATTCGCAGTCGGGGAAGGACAAGTAAGTGGACATCCTGGCCCCGGTGCAACCAGCAGCGCCAGGAGCCAAACACGCTGGCCGCCTTGACGACGCGCCGACGCGCCGCCTTGCGCAATGACCGCCGGCACGGCGTTACAGTGCGGCCGCGCTGACGGGCCGCCCGCAGGCCGCCGGGCCTCGAGCCAACGTGAAACAATGTGCATCGGCCGGCACCGCCGCGTCCGCCGCGTCCCGGGTTCAAGTACCGCCACCGGCCGCCACCCGCTTGGCAGCTGCTTGGCGTGCTTCGCCAGCTTATGCCTGCTTCGCGCTTCGCCCATTGACGCGCGTGGGCCGCCACCATGCCGCCGGCCTGGTGTGGGCCAGCGAGGGCGGCGAGGGCCGAGGCCCCCACGAAACGCTGCCGCCGCCGCCGCCACGACCGCGACGACGACGTCGAGCCGCGTCGTGAGCGCCGTATCTCACCTCGATAAGGCGAGGCGCGCGCACCGCAGCGCACCGCAAGGCACCGCAAGGCACCGCAAGGCACCGCAGTCCAGGCCCCGAAAATGTGGCGCGGCCGCGGCGTCAGTGCGTTGCGTCCCCGCCGGGCAGTCTGTCGGCTGCGTGCCCGGCCCGCGTAGACCCGCGTCTTCGAGGCGTCAGCGTGTGGACTACACTCGCATCCTGGCGGACCTGGCGGACCTGGCGGCGGCGCGGCACGCTCTTGACGCGGGGCCAACATTTGGACGAGGGAAGCGCCTTGCCTTGGTGCACAAACAGACTTGGCGCGGCGAACTCCCCAACGCCCCGCCAGCCGCCAGCCGCATGCGTACACAAGCCGCCCGGGGCGGCGCTCTAACTCAGCTATTTCATGCGGCGAGTGTTTCGCGTTTCGCGCCAAGTGCAGGAAATTGTGGTAAATAAAGTGGCTGCGGTGACTCAGCGGGGGCGGGCCGCGCGGCGGGGGAAGGGGCAGGGGGACTGCGTGCGTGACGGACTCTAATTCCTGTGTCATTTCTCCCCGCAGAATGGTGACGCTAAGCAACATGAGTTCAACCCTGGTGGAGACCGTGTCCATCAACTACGAGGACTTCAATGAGAGTTTCCTCACCTGCGGTACCTGTCTGTGTAAGTATCTCCGTTTCCCTCTTTTCCTTTGACTGTGTAGATCGGTTACGCGCGTTTCCTGCAGGCAGGCTGCACACCTGCGTGCGCCCCCCCCCCCTTTCCTTTCCACACCTCCCTGGTGCAGTGCAGGGCACCGCTGCAGGACGGTCGTAGAGGGAGAGGGGGATGTGGGGGAGGGAGAACGACACGATTGTGCGGCGTGGAGGACAATCGCGCCTCTGTGTTAGTGTGTGTGAGTGTGAGGTCACTCTGTTGCCGTGGCGTTTGTCGCTCGTCCCATCACTTGGCCGTCGTGGCTGCGACGCGCCGCGGAGTGTGGCTTGACGCGCAGTGAGAGGTGCGAGGGTATTATCGCCAAGTCCTGACCCGCCCCACAGGCATGCAGACGGCCGTGGCCGAGGCCGTGGCGCCGCGGCGCCTCTCTGCTCGCGGTGTAGTGCCGCAGCGCCGCAGTGCGGCGTGGGCGTGGGCTGGCTGGACGGCGCGACCAGAGTCCGCGGGCCGCGCGTCACTCCACGCCTTGGCCGCCCCGGCTGCCTTGGCCTTGAGCGGAAGCGCATCGCAGAAATGAGCTGCGACGCCGATTCCCATGACTTGGTCGGCCCGCGAGAGATGCCGCGCGGCCGCGTGGCTCGGCGGACTTCCGGGAGCGCGGTGGCGCGGTCCTGGACTTCTTGGACGGGCTGGCCCTGGCCGTGGCCGGCCTCCCCGTGCCTCTCGCCGTCATCGACCCGTCGAGCCCGGAGGCAGCCGGAGGCCACACGCCGCGTGCAGGGTGCAGGCCCTCCGGCCCTCCGAGCGGAAAGGCCACGCAAAGTGGGGCATTTAGGCAAATCCTGCAGGATGCCCCGCCCGGCCCCACGGCCCCGCTGCACTGACGTGTATACTGACGTTGACGCTGTTGCAGGCATGTACGATGGCGGCGAGCACACGCCCAAGCTGCTGCCGTGCTCGCACACGGTGTGCCTGCACTGCCTCACGAGGATCGCGGCCTCGCAGACCAGGGACACGGGCACGTTCCGCTGCCCCATCTGCCGGGAGCTCATCACCATCCCCCGCGGCGGCGTGCCCGCCCTGCCCCCCTCCTTCCTCGTCAACCAGCTGCTGGACCTCATGTCGCGCCAGCGCCGCGAGGTGGTGCCCAAGTGCGCCACGCACCTCAACCAGGTAAGCCGCGGGCGCCGAAGACAAAAAATAAAAGTCTTGGACTGGTCTTGAAGACGAAGGTGGTATTTGAACCACCGTCCTGACGGAGCCGTTTGTTGAACGTCCATACTTAAACCTTAAACCTGCTTTGCTCTAGGAGCTGCTGTTCTGCGAGACGTGCGACTCTGTGTTCTGCACGCTGTGTGCAGGGGGCAGCCACAGCAACGGGCCCGGCGAGCACACCATCATCCCCTTCTCCATTGCCATCAAGCGCATGTCCGAGATCCTCCTTTATAAGGCCAACGAGTGCATCGCCAAGGTATACCCAACCGCCGAGCCACCGGCCTTCTGGCCCACTGTGCGCTGAGTGCACAGAGCGTTGACTTACCCTGGACTCTTCTGGCAGCTGTCGCAGGCCGAGGAGGCCGTGTCCGCGGAGCTGCAGCGGCTGGACGTGGCGACCGAGACGTGCCTGGAGCAGGTCTCCAGCTCCATCGCCGAGCTGTCCGCGGCGCTGGACAAGCGGAAGGCGCAGCTGCTGGAGCAAGTGACGCAGGCCAGCCAGGCCAAGCGCATCGTGCTGGAGGAGCAGCTGGCCCTCGTGGCCGCCGAGAAGCAGAAGGTGAGATCCTGGCGAGATTGTCGGCGTGCCCCGGCTAGAGGGCCCCGCCAAGAGGGCCCCGCCGCCCCGCCCTCCATGCGATGGCCACAGACCCGCCGCTGGCCCCGTGGCGGCGCAGTCGGCGCCCTCTGCTTTATTATTAGGATGGCGGTTTGTTTACTGTCGAGCACATGTGCCGGTCGTACTTGTAGTCGCGCTTGAGGGCAGTGACATCGCGGAGTCGCGTGGCGTGCGGCACGGCGTGGCACGGCGTGGCACGGCGTGGCCGCGTCGCGCATGAGTGCAAATACGTAGTCGGGCGGCGAGCAGCCGAGCACCGCACCAGCGACATGCCCAGCTACATGCCTGGCCATGCGGGTCGCGAAGTGGACGCGGGGCTTGGACGAGCCGCGCCGGGGAAACTACACTAGTAGAGAGTTTTAATAGTTTCCACTTGGGGCCGGCAAAAAATGACGAGACAGGATGCGCTACACGGTACGAATGTGTGCTGCAGGTGGAGAAGGAGTGCGACGGGCTGCAGTACCAGGTGGAGGTGCGGTCCATCTCGCAGCGCATCGCCAGCCTGGGCGTCAAGCTCGAGTCGGCCAGCACGCTGCACGAGCCGCGCGAGAACTCGTTCATCACGTGCGAGTTGAAGCACAACGACAGCCTGAGCCAGGTGGAGACCGCGCTGGCGCGCCTGGGCCGCGTGCGCACCAGCACCACCTTCCCCAGCCTGTCGTCTGCCGTGCTGGAGATGCCCGTGCCCGCGGTGGCGCGCCTGCCGGCCCTGGCCCGCCTCTGGACCGTGGACTACCACGGCTGCCCGCGCAAGACGGGCGGCGACCCCGTCACGGCGGAGCTGGTCGTGGACCCCGACGCGCCGGCCGCCGCCCCCGCCGCCCCCGCGCCAGCAGGGCCCGGCCAGGGCAGCCCCGCCGCACCGCCTCAGGTGCCTCAGGCGCCGCTGCCCTGCCAGGTGACGGACTGGGACGACGGCTCGTACACCATCAGGTTCAGGCCGTGGGACGCGGGCAGGTGAGTCCAGATCAGTGTAAAGGCTGCTCTCGGCCGTGATCCCCTATCTCTAACGACCGGCTGTCCCGTCCAGGTACCTGCTCAAGCTGAGCGTCATGGACCGGCCCATCCAGAACTACCCCCTGAAGGTGGAGGTGACGCCGCACAACAACCCGGTGCGCACGTTCGGCGGCAGCCGCGGCCTGGGCAAGGCGGAGTTCCTGCAGCCCGTGGGCGTGGCGGTGGACGCAGAGGGCCGCTCGGCCTTCGTGCTGGACACGGGCAACTCGCGCATCAAGGTGCTGTGCGCCGCGGACCTCTCCTTCCAGCGGCACATCGAGACCGCCGAGCTGGCCGGCCGCTCCTGCACGGGCATCGCCTGCACCAAGGAGCACGGCCTGGTAAGGGAAGGGGAGTGTGGGTTCGATTCCCAGTGGGATCCGACTGTTTCTGAGACCCGATTTGTTTCCTCAGGTGGTGGTGAACTGGCGCACCAAGCAGGTGATCGAGATGACGGAAGAGGGTGAGGTGGTGCGCACGTTCACGCACGCCGGCTTCCAGGAGCCCATCGCCCTGGCCGTCGAGGCCACCTTCGGGCACATCCTGGTGGCCGACAACGGCGCGTGCTGCGTGTTCGTCTTCGACAGCGGTGGCAAGCCGCTCTTCCAGGTAACCGTTCAGTCCTTCCGGCTTGCTGCGTTCTGCCGCGCGGCCTCAGTAACAATTGGCCTGTGTTTGACCCTCAGGTGGGGCGTAAGGGCAGCGGACCGGGCTGCTTCAGCATGATCTCAGGCGTGGCGGCCGCGCCGTCCGGGGAGATCCTGGTGGCCGAGAACGACCGGGTGCACGTGTTCACGGCCAAGGGGGACTTTCAGGAGACACTCACCACCGACGCCAAAGGTGAGCTCTTCGTAGCCCCCCTTTGCTTTTGATTTGCTCGTCTGCTACATGCCCTTCCTCTCCTCCTTCTGCAGGCAAGGGCCGCATCGGCGGGCTGGCGTGCGACGCCGAGGGCCGCATCGTGGCCACGCGGGTGGACAAGGCGCGCGCCTACGTGCACGTGCTCTCCCTCAAGGGCCAGGTCGTCAACACCGTGGACTCGCACGACGCGCCGCTCAAGCGGCCGTGCGGCCTCGCCGTCACCAGCGACCAGCACGTGGTCGTCGTGGACCTGGGCAACGACACCGTCAGCAAGTACCGCTACTGGTAGCGCAGCCTGGCGCAGTCCCTGGCATCCTCAGCCAGTCATCTAGTCGGCCGGAGTGGACGTTGAAGTGTGTGCTTGTGTGATAGAGCGTGAGCGTGTGTATGTGTGTGTGTGACTGGACCTGCAAGCAGTGTGATGTGCTCGGTCGGGGCCTGGTTCGCCTCCTGGAGGAACAATGCAGCGTTGGGCGTTGTCTGATTCATCGTACTGCCATCGTCTCGCTCAACCTAACCGCCCACGGCAATGAGTTCCTCCTTGTGTCGGCCTCGAAACGGAGTTGAACCCGTGTCTCCCGCCCAGCGATGCGCGGGCACGCCTCCATGCTGTGTTTCAAGTTTCCATTCTTGTGATTTCTTTCTCTAGATTACGTTGTGTAGTTATGTTAGGAACTCAACTAATTGATGAATGTCGAAAGTGACGGGGGCACTTTGCATAGAACCAAAGGAAGTGCCATAGAGTGCAGGGCGACAGGGCAGCATCGATGAATACAGGTTGCAACTGATGTGTTAGTTTTTAGATTTCTTATTAAATCAAATCTTGCACAATATGTTATAAAAAAATCTGCATGGGTGTGCCCCTGTTTGCCATAATCGCACGGGCCTGTTATTGTTTGAAGAAATGTTATTGTTGTGAGACTGTTGAAGCATTTTGCAAGCTGACATAAATATGTCTTTCCTTAGAGTGATTGTTGCAGATTAATTGTTATGTATGTGAAATAGATGTGTATAGAATGGTGGTTTGGAAACTGTTATGAGATAGTGGTGATATTTAATTTAAAGACTCCACTGGTGAAGTCAGAATATGGTATGCTTACTCTGCGCAACCACATAAATAAAGAATTTTATAATTTACAACTTCTAGCACCTTAAAATTGAGTTGAAGAGAAATGAATAAGGCCTTGTTGGTTTGACCAATTCTGTTTATGGTTTTGTAATTTTTTTTCCTTGTTGCATTGCCTGAAGGAATACTGAGGTTGAATCAAAAGTGGAGTAAGCATATGCGGAATGTGCCAAGGGCTTCTATCGTGCCATTATGCATTCAGTATTTTGAGAGTCCAAACACCATTTATACTTTGGCCGTGCTCTTGTAACAGTATGGAACTCTTATTGGCTAGAAGGGTAGTGCCACAACCTTTTTGCAAAATGTCATAAATTTGTTCTTAATTTGCTCACTGATGTGTTTCCTCATGACTTGGGTTTTTTTAAGTGTTCATTTTTTAAGTGATTGTTTTCAATCCACCTTCTGCCTTTCTCCTATTTTGTCATTTTTTTCTGCATTGACTGATGGGTCTTCAATGGTAAAATTAATTAGCCATTTTGAGGGTGCCTTTTCATTGTCTCAAAGACCCATTCCAATTGACCTAGTCGTTTCTGGCATTTCCTATGAAACGAAGCATTTTTTTATACTTATTTATTGTTTCTTTTTTGTAATGATTAGCTTTAGGTATTATTTTTAAATTGTCAACGCCAATATTAATATGCCATCTTAAACCAGAAATGTCTCTAGTTTCTTGGAAATTTTCTATCAGTGGCCATGTACTTATTGTTAAAATGTGTTTTCATCCTCTCAATTTCAAAGAGTGCAAAAATTACTAGCTGATGTTGCAATTTTTGACTGTGAAGTAAACTATCGCTTTCCTTATCTGCCCTGCTTTTTTATCATTCCCTGTACCATTGATTAATTATTCCACTCCAACGGTTCCGTCGCCTCTCTCCGTCTCTCAGCGCGGGGAAGTCCTCCCTATCGTTAAGCGTGAACGGCTGGCTGGCCGCCTGGCCTTTAAAAGCTACTGTAAAGTACACTGTCGTGTCGATCACATTTCGGGCTGACCCGAGCCTTTTAGAGTGTGGGTGTGTCGTGACCTCCACCGGGGCGATACAGCGCCGCCGTGGTTTTCTCTCTCGCGTGATAAGATAAAAGATTGCCGTGCATTTCCGCGCAGTCGCGCGTATCTTCCTTCCACCCTTTTCCGCTCAACTTGCTTTATTTGAAAATGTCTCCACCTTTCTTTTTAAGTTCGGCCCGGAGCGAAATTTGCATTTGCAGTTTGCTGTACTTATAAGGCAGATAAATACGTGTGCGAGTGCACCAGAGTACACACTGGCTGTCGTTCTTATCAAAGTGGCAGCTCCAACACGCCCGACTCATGCAGGTCCAAGAACCCCACAGCCTTTGTGTACTACTGCGCGCTGTACAGTGAGTGGCTCGGGGTCTGCGGCAGCGCGACAGCGACCATCCGCGCTCCGCACTCGCGATATGCCACTGTAGTTGCCTACACCGCCATGGACACGTCGCCAGCCCGGGAAATGTTCGGCAGCAGCGGACAGCGAGCTGGCCGGGACATTTGGTCAAGTCAATTTGCGTCCAAATTTTCCCGGCGCACGCCATCATTTGATGTCACAATGAAATATAGATTAGCTGCATGGAACAACGCCGCAGCGTTCATGACGTCAAAGGCGACGGGGCATGGCAAGTCCGGCCAGAGCCGCGGAGCGCGGTGCGGCCGTTCGTGACCCAGCCAGTCAGAGATACGGCAATCGAAACATTTTCGAATCGACCGTCTCGCCGTACATTGTTTTTGTTCACGCCGCATTCGCTATTGCGCTAATCGATGCCGAGGGCTGCTGCTCCTGCCTCGGGAGCCTCGTCTGTGTCGCTGAGTCCTCGGCGGGTTGCTGGTTGCCTGCCTCCGCGGCGGCGTGCCCCGGCAGATTCGCGTTCCGCTTCAATTGCACATTCTGGCCAGTCGTCGATAGTTCATTTGGACCCGCACCGAGCTGCGGCCAGCCACGGCACGGACACAGAGGGCGTTGGCACTGGTTGTCATCGGTACCGGACCGCGGCGACGGCCTACGGCACGGCCACGGCCAATGCGCTCCGCGCCGGCGGGACCTTCCTGGTCTTCCCCCTCGCTCCCACTTACGGTGCGCAATGGCACCACCACTTGTGTAACGGAGACACACGACACACAGTGTACACGGCAGTACAGTCCACGCACGAGCACCATTTTCCGGGCGAGGGGGGAGGAGGGGCGGGACTGGGTCGTGCTCGGTTCGTCGCGGGGGAGGGGGAAGAAGGGGTGAGGGGAGGAGGGGAGGAAAGGTGGGGGGTTCGAGACGTCGAGCCAGCTGACTGAGGGACTGAGCTGGGCTGGGTTCTGAGGTGTCAGCCGGTGTCAGCCCTGCCCTGCACCAGGCCCAACCGAAGAACAGAAAACAGAACTCGCTCTGCGCAAGGCGCAAGGCTACGCGAAGCCAGGCCCAGCGCCAGCGCCAGGCAGTGCAGTGCAGGCAGGCACAGGCAGGCCAGCGCTTGCCGGAGGCGAGGCGAGCAGGCCAGCCAAGCCGAGGAGGAGGAGAGCCAGCGCCAGCGCCAGCCGCCAGCCGCCAACCCAGCCAGCCAGCGTCCGGACGGCCGAGGCCCCCTGGAGGCGATCAAGGACCAGCAAGAGTCAAGGATGGCTCACCAAGGGGCTCACCAGGGCGCCCAGGCGGCACAGCAGCCCCTGAGGAGCCGCAAATCGTCGGGATCGGGTCCCATGAGAGCCACACTGCCCATGGCATCGCTGCTGCGGAAGAACGACAACAACAGCCCGAGCCAGTCCCTGTCCCCCACAGCTGCTTGGAGGGCTTTGTCTGGACAGCGGTCTCCAGGGGCGTTAGCCACGCTCTCATACAAAGGTACTACCCCGAAATGGTCGGCAGCGGGCAGCGCGGGCCCAGGGGGCCTATCGCCGTGAAATATGTGCCACCCGCACACAGCTGTCAATGTCAACTTAGGTTAGGTCGGCGGGGACGGGACGGGCAGGTCCTACTGACATGGGTTCGGTCATAGGGCCTACTGTCAAAAATGAGAGTGGCACGGTCGTGGTCCAGTTTCCAACTTTAACAGCAATGTTCAGGATTGATCATCGCACCTCAGATGATGGGTTCTATGTTCGCCACGCATTGGTGAAAACTTAAAGCTCTTTAACAAAGAGAAAACAACTTCTTCATAAGTGCAAGCCTACTTTACTGAGAATGAAAGCTCCTGCTTCTCCCTCTCAGGTCATTTTTCAGGAATCCAGTTCCTTTACTAAGTACCTCCTGCTATAGGTGTTACCATGGTTCTGTTGGGTGAGAGTGTTGTCATTGTTGGGGTCTGCCTAGACTGAGGCTGCTGACTTTGTGGGCTGCTCTGCACTTATTTTATAGCACAGAAGTCCCATAGAGATCCTGTGACCATTCTGGTAGTTCCCTGAAGTTTTTGTTCAGGAATATTCGCACGCCTTGTTATGACTTGTTAGTTGATTCAATGTTCTTTTTAATTAGGAACCGCACATCTCCTGCGGGTAACATTAACTCTTTCTGTGTCCTCTATAACTTTGGTTTGTTTTCCTTTGCAGCTAAATCAAAAACATTGAGTGGCCGTCCAAGTCATGGCTTAGGTAGCAATAATAGTGTCATTCGACGTACAGCTTCTTTGGATACACTTTATCTTCAGGGTCAGTGGCCAAGAGACTCTTTCAACCTCCAGGTTGACAAGGCAACCCAGGTACTAAACGCTAACTAATTACTGATTTTTAAAAACTTATTAACTTGTACTTATGTATGGAAATGTGACATTTCTTTCTTTAGACTGAAGACTGGCTCCTAGGGGATAGCAGAAAGTACCGTCATGATCACCCCTGTAACGAAGACAAGCTTGAAAAATATATCAGGCACAGGTATGTGTCAAACACTTGAGATGACACACTATGTAAACTGCTCGACAAATTGCTGACAACCTCTTTGCATGCAGGTTACAGCGAAGTAGCAAAGAAGCCACCAGCAGTCGGGAGAGGACTGCAGCATTTGGACTTATTATGTCTCCAAACCTGCCATCTCCAGCATCTTCACACCATAGTGACCATAGCACTGTAACTTCTCCCAGTGCTGGAAGTCAAACAAGTACTGCCTCAGGTAGAAAAAAAAAACTCTTCTGTGTTTGCACTTAAATTTAAGTCTTGGCCTTTCAAATAAACCAACGCTATTTCAGGATCACCTCTTCACAAAGCAATGCCAGTAAATATCCCCACATGGAAGCAGGCTGCAGCAAACCGACCTCCCATGCGCAGTTCTATCGAAGGACTTAATCAGGAGATAGAACGACTTGTCTTGAAAGGCACCAAGAATGGATCACATGACCAGGAGAGGGAAGAAGAAAAGACTTTCCAACTTTGCACACCTGAAGGTCATAGAGCTCCACTAGCAGACATGCTGCGTTCTACACGGTCTCGTTCTGTTAACACACAGACACCCGCTGGTGGAGACTTCACTACTCACAGCTCTCAGTCCTCAGGTTTGTTAAAATGCTCTAAAAAAGAAAAAAAAACTTCGAGCACTATGTTTTATTAAATCATTTGTGATCTTTTCCTGTAGGCCCTCCGTCTAGAGAATCAGCATCACCTCTGATTGCTGGTGTAATGGAACTCTCGAGGCCGCCAAGTGAATCGCAGGGTAAATTTTTTCAGTATCTGTTGCAATCTGAAGTTGCCTGGAATTATTTCTTGAACTTGGTGAATTTCTTTGTCATTACAGTTGGCAGTGGAGATTCTTCCCCAGACCGAGATGCTGGGAAGCTGGGTACCTCTCCTCATATCAACAAGTTCCTAGCTAGAGAACCACCAGATGGCTGTGAAAAAGTTAACTCTAAATTTGTTGAAGACAATAGGTAAGTCTTGTCTTTTTGTTCACTGAGATTGAAAAATACAATGAAAACTAATACACTTATTTTATGAAAATTTCAGGCGTCCAATGATTGATTTTACTGTTTACGGAAATCTGAAACCGTGTGTGTCAGTTCAATTCAAACCCTCTTTGGGCTCCGCATTCCTGCCACTACAAACACCATCTGCAGCAGCCTCGGGCCATGTGTCTCCATCTGTGCCCGCAGTCAATGGGACATCTAGCCCGGATCCTGATGCAGAGGGGCCAAGTACCAATGAGGATTCTGCCGGGGTTTGATGTGCTCCTACTACATATAAATGTGATAACTTCTTTAATCTGTGGATAGCTGAAGCTAAGTAACTTTCAAGTAGGTTGGTGCAGGAATTCCTTTTCACCCAGACAATATGATGGAATTATTTTGTTTAAGGAAATATCTTGTTTATTTCAATCACTACTTTGCATGATGAAAAAATTATACATATTTGTTTATGTATACACTGGTCTATGGAGTACATTGTCATTGTACTTCTGTATTTTATTTGCTGGAAGTGTTTCATTAGTTGCCCATTCACAACTCTTGGTTTAGTTTCAGATGAATCTATTTGTGTCAGGGTGGAAAGGCATGCTGCTGAGGACCAAATACTGCAGGCAGTTTTGCATGTGGCATTTTGCTTGTACATTATCAAACTCTGCTGTTGACATCATACCACTAAAGAACCAACTCTGTTGTTTTAGAGGTGGTGATCTTTAATCATATCACATGTTGTGGTTCCATGTTCTCATATGAATTATACTGTAATTTAATGAGCTATGCCACCTGCAACTGCATTATAAGCCTCTGTATCTTTACAGTTTCATGCCACCTCATAAGTACAAAATCATTTGAGTTAATAGTTATGTGGAAATTAGATAATTGTTACCTACTAATGGACTTTCTCTTCTCTTCAAGTAATAGAATTCTCAGGATGGAAACTAATTCTATTTTTCAATATGAGAATGTATTTGAGAGTAAATTAGATATTTTTTTGTGAACTGAAGGAGGTATCAACTTCCAAAATTTAATTCAAATATTGTTGTCTAATTTTGAAGGATTTACCCATATAGGATACTAACATGAAGTAGGCTTGTTGTTTAACATATGTGTTTTCTCATAATTGCATCTTGTTAGTGAAAGTATTGAAGAACTGATCAGAACTTTTTTGTTGTTAATTGCAACACTCTTTATACGGTACACCCTAGAAAAGGGTTCTTCAAACGGCTTCCAAAGAATTATTCTTTTTTTTTTTATCCTAGTTGTATGCTAAATTAATTATGTTACTGTTACTTTTGAGAATAACATATTGAAGACCTTATGTTACATTTCAAATTACTTAATTTTAACAGTATTCTTTTCTCAGTGAAAAATGAATGGCTACCAAATAATAACCTCGAGTGGGAAGGTTTGTGAACCAAATTTGTCTGTTTCATTGTTTTTATTTTGTCTTCTTTTACACTACTCTTGTATCAACCCTCCTCCCTCTAGTGTTGTTTTCTTCTTCCTTTTTTCTTCTTTCTGAACTCAAGTACCCTTTGAGCTGATTTTATGTAGAATAAGACTTCTGTGCAATTAGATTGTTTTGGTGAGATAAAAAGTAGCAACTCCTTTTCAAGTTTCAATGTTAAATTGTGTATGAATGTGTGAATCAAGTAATGTAACTTTAATAATTTAAATTATTGGTAGTTTGGATTGCTCAAAAGTTTCTGAAAATAATTGAATTCTCATCAAGTTCTCCCTTAGTTTCCCCACCCTTTTTCTGCTCAGCTTCAGTGTGTATTTTTGAAATTATGGGTATGTATTTTGCAGTTTACTCTTTGTCAATTTTATAGTTAGCCACATTGAAATTGTACTTTTCCTGTGTATCTTTCACCATGTTATTTGAAGGTAAAATTGATTTGGAAAAGGAGCTATGACACCTCATTATTAGTGTTTATCTATTTCGTTATTTTTGTATTGTTTCTTTTTTCGTACTAGATAGTTTATTTTGTAGAAAATACAAGGTCTGTTTCTCAGAACTGTTTGTACGTTATTTTTAATGAAGAAAATTTATTTTGAACTAAGACATGGGTATAGTCAATGTGGCAGTGTGTATGTCTTCAAGCTGAAGATTGAGTGCGTTGATGTGTACATTTTCATGTCTTTAAATGTGCTTTTTGGCACACTTGTAAATCGGTTCCATAAGTACTTGTTTGTTTTGTGGAAATTTTATGCCAGTCAATTCCTTGCTTCAAAAATAGTTTTGGTTTCTTTTTATTCGTAAGAAGAAAGCAAGACGGGAAAACATGATTTGGTCAGTTTTGTTATTTTGCCACTCAAACAGTGGCAGCACCTTTATTGTAACAACTGTGTAATGTCTTTTACGTACTTTGTCAATGTGTCCAATAGGTTAAGATAGAAATGTTTGAAAGACCTTGTAACCTGGGGGCACTCTGACATTTATTTGTTTTGATAATGACAGGGTGTCCATTTCCCCCGGTACAGATGGTAAATGTCTCTTTCCATTTTGGAATGTTTTAGCCATAATCAAATCCTTTGAATTTTTCGGTGATTTGTCAAGTTGAAGTGACTGCACTCTATTTACTTTTGTAACAAGCAATGTTTTAATGGGGTTTTCCTAGCCCAGCTGGGGCCAAAGAGGAAGTATGTGGGATGTACATGTTCTTCTTGCAAGGAGAATAAATGCCAAAATAATACTACTGAATATAGCAGACTTCAAGTTTTGTACCCCAAACTGCCCGTTCCGTCCACTTCCATGCCCGTCGCGGTCGGAAACCCTGCAGAGACTCTGCGACAGATTTTACCCGATACACGATAGTAGTGCAAACATGACGTGCGCCTCGGAGGCGCAGGCCTGGAGGCGCAGGCCTGCCGCCAGCGTGGAGCAGAACGAGCTGAGCGAGCTGAGCCGACGGCCACGGCGACGCTTCACGCTCGCACGACGCTCGGACGGGGGAATTCCCCAGCCCAAGCGCGGCTGCAGGATTTGCTAGGCGGACATGCCACGCTTTTTGCCTACTCAAAGGCGAATGCCGATGGCACTGCGGGTTGCCCACTCAGTGTTCTCAAACGGGCGGTCCGGCTCGGCCCACCGCCTAGGCAGTGGACGATGATGGGCCGTCGGTCTCCCGTCCGAATTTTGCGGGACACGTCCGAGGCAACGAGCTGGGTTCGGCTGCCTTCGGCTCGGCTGCCTCTGTCACCGGCCGCCGGCGGCCGGTGGACCGGCGGAGGTGTGATCGGCGCTCGACGAGCGAGCACATCTTGCATCTCTCTCGCACTCAAGGTGGCCAGTGGGTTAGACAAGGATGTCTGCCGAGCGGCGCGCTGCCTTGCCTGGCATCGAACCACATCGAACCGACCGCCGCTCGCAGCGAGCTAGCGCGTTGCGAGCTCGGCTACGCAGCCGAAGCCAAGCGTGGTGCCGATCGGAGCGGGTTGTGCGACGGCCCGCTGCTCTGGACGGTCCGGGCCGCCACCCGGCCCATGCTCAGAGTGGCGGGCCGGGCTGGGCGCTCTGGCCAAGCAGCGCCAGGACGGGATGGGCCGAGCCGGACCGCCCGTTTGAGAACACTGTTGCCCACCTTCAGGGAGTTGGCTGCGTGTTGCCTACATACAGACCCTCAGCAAAGGAAAGGGGGGGGGGAATTCCCAGGCGACGGCTGAGGTGGTTGAGCGGCTAGCTGTAGGACTCCGAACTCCGGCCGAAGCTTGCCTCGAGAGCCACACGCCGCGCGCCACGTACCTCACGTCAATCACAGGTACCAGCGACCTGAAGCGAAGGGAACACAATAGACTCGCACTGGCAGCGCGAGCAGCGCGGCTAGACCGAAAGGCTCCAGCCCGTGCGACCGCCACTCGCCGGCCCCCCTCCTCTTCCCCTCCCCCGTTCCACGGGCCCACCTCACAGAAGAGCGTCCGCCGGGTCCGCCCGCGCGTCGCGGTTCCGCGAGTCCGCGAATTATTATTTGCCATCGTCACGTGGCGGGCGTGGGGCCTGGCCCGCCTGGAGCTGGCGGCGGGCCCGGCGCGCCCGGCGGCCGTGTCGCCTCACGCTGCCTCGTGCAAACACGATCCAAGGTGGCAGAGGCTGCTGCAAGGGCAGCCCGGTCCGGCCCGGTCCCAGCAGTCGCCAGTCGCGAACCGGCCGCCAGCCGCAAGCACTACTCCAGGATGCGTCTCACCCTCAAAGCGTGCCCGCGTCTAGGTAAGCCACGCGCAGCAAGCCCTGGGTTGGCAAGCAAGGCAAGCATGTCGACTGCCCCGCGAAGCCCTCACCCCCGGCCGGCGCGGCCCAGCCTTGGGCCATGCTTGGGCCCAGCCGTCACCCCTGGAGCGCGGCGCTGTTTGTCTGTGTGCCTACCCGTCAGGCACGGCGTGGCACGGCGTGGCACGGGCCGTGGCGTGGCGTGGCATGGCCCCAGAGTGGCGCCGGGACCGGGATGTGTGTGCGACACTCCCACACCTATCTGGCTCACACTCTCAGTAAGCAACGGACCGCCGTCGGCACCAGATGAGCAGCAGTCCGTCCAAACCACGTGAGTGTCTCGCATCCCCGCCATCCCGCCATCGCCAACCCCGCCGCCCCCGTGCACACAACGCGATCGCGCCTCGGCCGGGCTGGGCTGGCTGGGCCGGGCCGTGCGGTCAGCTAGGGCCACCCCGTGGCGCGGCGCCGGACAACGTCGACGTCGTAGGGTGTGAACCTAATTGGTGAACCTGCGAAAGGCGACCTTATCCCGGGAGGTAAGCGCAACTCGTACTAAATTCGTGGTGATAAATGATAAGACCAAGACAACAGCGCGGGGAGCGACGCCACGGCCCGCAAGCGTCGCGTGTGTGGGCCCGCGGGCAGGAAGGGATAACAGGTGGGAAAAGGGGGTGAAAACTGTGGCCAGAGTAGCGCCTGGCCGCCCCCAGTAGGCCGTCGGGCCTAATGGGTGTGTTTGGTGTGCGCCTGCAGCGGCAGCGGGGTGCGCGGGCCGCGCTGCGCCCCTCCTGCGGCGCCGCCTGCCCATCTCGAAGTGGCTGCCCACCTACGGCCGCGAGGACGCCGTCGCCGACCTGGTGGCCGGCTTCACCCTGGGGCTCACCCTCATCCCCCAGAGCATCGCCTACGCCCTGCTCGCCGGCCTGTCGCCGCAGGTAAGACTTGGTGACGGTGATGGTGGGGCCGGGGAGAGCCGCAAGGGGTCGCTATCCTTGATCCTGCACTTGCCATCAAAACACACAAGGTCAGTGATGTACCGATTGCGCGGCGATAAACCGGTGACACATGTGTCCGGTGTGACACACGGCAAGTGTGTGTGTGAATGTGTGCGGAAGGGGGGGGGGGGGTAAGTCAAAACAAACCTAACTACTCACGCCGCGCCGCACGCCCCGCCGACGCAGGTGCCTGACACACTGGTTGGTTGGTTTGCAGTATGGACTGTACTCGTCGTTCCTGGGCAGCCTGCTGTACGTGCCGCTGGGCACCATCAAGGAGGTGTCCATCGGGCCCACGTCGCTCATGTCGCTGCTCACCTCGGAGTACACGCACGACCAGCCGGTGCAGGTCGTCGTCCTCCTCACCTTCCTGACGGGGGCCGTGCAGATGCTGATGGCGCTGCTGCAGCTCGGTGAGGTCTCAGCGATGAGGCAGGCCCCAATCTCATGTCTGCGCCCTCAGTCGGCAGTCGCCTAACCGCCCCCTGCCGCGCGCGCCGCGCCAACGCGTGCCCTTGCGCAGGCTTCTTGGTGGACCTCATCTCGGACCCCGTGACGTCAGGCTTCACCTCGGCGTACTCCGTCATGATCGCCGTGTCGCAGGTCAAGGGGCTGCTGGGGCTGCGGTTCAAGGCCCACGGCTTCGTGGACACCCTATACCAGCTCGGCCGCCACATCCACGAGGCCAAGCTGGCCGACTCCCTGCTCGGCTTGGGCTGCATTGCCGTGCTGCTGTCAATGAAGGTCTGCCTGCTTACTTTGATCCAGTGAGGGTTTTGAGGGGTTTGAGGCGTCTCACTGATCTGCCCGTGGCCTCGTCTTCCAGAAACTGAGCACGGCGGGCGCGCCTGGCAGCCGCGTGCGCCGCGCAGCCTGGGTGCTCTCCATCGGCCGCAACGCCATCGTGGTGCTGGTGTGTGCCGTCGTCGCGTACGTGCTGGAGCAGGGCGGCGGCGCGCCCTTCGCACTGTCTGGTACGCCTGGCCTGCTCGGCCTTGACCGTGGCTGTTTGCGGAAAGCCTTTACCGCCCACCTTCAATCTTGCTGATGTTTGCGGTGCTGATGCAGGCCAGGTGGAGCCCGGCCTGCCGCCCCTGGACCTGCCGCCCTTCTCTGCTCCGGGACCCGGCAACGCCACGCTGTCCTTCACGGACATGGTCTCCTCCTACGGCGGCGGTCTGCTGGTCGTGCCCGTGGTCGGCGTGCTGGCCAACATCGCCATCGCCAAGTCCTTCTGTAGGTGGTCGTGCAAAGGCAGCTCGCCCGAGCACCGCGCCCCGCACCCCGCGTCCGCCGGGCAGAGGCTGCGACAGGGGCGAGCTAGGCAGACCCGCGGCGCAGAGGAGCGAGCGGGTTGCCTATCTCGACTTCGCAGGCGCTCGGCTCGGCGGTCGTCGACGACGCAGGACTCCCAAGTCTCAGTAATTTGACTCGTGTTCGTGTTTCGGTTTCTCGACTGCAGCCAACGGCGCGCCCGTTGACGCCTCGCAGGAGATGGTGACGCTGGCCGTGTGCAACCTGCTGGGGTCCTTCGTGAGCTCCATGCCCACTTGCGGCGCCTTCACGCGCTCGGCCGTCAGCAACGCCTCGGGGGTGCGCACGCCGCTGTCCGGGCTGTACTCGGGTGAGCTTGAGTCCAAGAGCCAGCCGCCACTTCCCCTGTCGCCCAGGCCGCCCCGCAGCACCAGGCGCCAAGCCAGGCGCGGGTCCGGGGGGTGGGTTGTAATGGGGGTACTTACGTCACGTCCTCCTGAGGTACTAAGTACCTGAAAGGAAGGAAAAATCACTGCATTGCCCCTGTAAGTAGGCGATGAGGTGCTGTCCTACCCCCTCCTTGGGAGGATCCTGGATGCGCGGCCGTGCAGCCAGCACACCGTTCCGCACTACAACGGCATGTCCCCGCAGGAGCTATGATCCTGCTGGCCCTGGTGCTGCTCACGCCCTACTTCTACTACATCCCCAAGGCGACGCTGGCGGCCGTCCTCATCAGCGCCGTCGTCTTCCTGGTCGACCTGGACATTCTCCGCCCCTTGTGGCGCAGCTCTAGTGAGTGCCCCTCACCTCACATCGCTCCCGCGCTCCCTCCCAGCGCCTGCATTGCACCGACGTCTTCATCAACGAAGTAACTCTCTGTCTGTGTCAGAACGGTCCCTGCTGGTGACGGTGCTGACTTTCGCGGCCTGCCTGGGCATGGGGGTGGAGGTCGGGCTGCTGCTGGGCGTGGCCCTGGAGCTCGCCTACCTGGTGTACCTGTGGGCGCGGCCGCCCGTTACAGTGCAGCTCTGCAAGGTAGGCTAAGACTCGGCTGAAGCCAGCGCGCTGCAGCGCGGCACCAGCAGCGGTCGCCTGCGGCTTCGGCCTGCGCCTCGGCCTGGGCTTAGAACGTGTTGAACCCCCTGCAGGCGAGCTGGGGCGAGTACGTGCTCGTCCGGCCCGACGTGGGCCTCTTCTTCCCCGCCGTGGGCGTGGTGCGCGACGCCGTGCTCCTCGCCTCCACGCAGGAGGGCGCTGGCGGGCTGCCCTTGGTGCTGGACTGCGCGCACTTCAGGAACCTCGACTACACCGCCGTCAAGGTAGACCCTCGATCGCGTTTCCGCGGTCCGCGTTTGAATCGGTTAACAGCCTGCCGAGCGATTCGGAAGATCGGTTCGACGCTCTCTCTCTCTCTCGCACTCAGACGGAGAGCCCCATGAGTGCGAAAGAGAAAGAGACTGAGCGGCGAGGCGAAACGACTCTTCCAACTTGAATGACTCTCCTGCACTGCACTTCGTCGGCACTTTGGCAGGGACTGGAGGCGCTGGTCCGAGAGCTGGGCAAGCGCGGCCAAGCACTGCGCTTCATGGGACTGTCGGGCTCCGCGTTGCGCGTCGTCGCCGCCCTGGACATGCAGGGCTTCGCGCACTGCGCCGCACCCAGAGACCTGCCCGACCTGCTGCTCGCCGACGGTGCGTTGTGTTCGCCCTTCGGCACTGTCTCCCTTTTCTTCGCCACTGTGAGTCTGACCTGACCGCCACTGCCGCTGCAGGGGACAAGCTGGTCGCGGACAGGGACAGCTTGTCGAGGGCCGAGACCCGGGTGGCGCTGGTTCGCGTGGACGCGGACGGCAGCGACGCCAACGAGGTGGCGTCCAGGGCGCTGGCCGAGGCCCCCGACAGGGACGCCGTGGACGGGCTGCGAGAAGCACCGCAAGAGGCACCGCACGAGCTGAGCGCGTTGCAGGGCAAGAAGCAATAAAGATATCCGGCAGAGATGACGTGCCTTTCTGTACGGGGAGACGGGGGTAATTTTTTTTTTTTAGGCGGCTGGCATGAGGATTCCAACAGCACTTAGTAAACATATTACATTTATTCATAAAACGATGTAGCAGTAAATGTCAATATAATCACAACATAAATAAACAAAGTTGTACTTAATCACAAGAATAGGTCGATACAGGGCTTGCAGCACAGCGGGCACTTTTGCCCTCCGCGTTTGAGGAGTACAGTGTGCTCACACATTTTGTACTGGCAGAAAGCCTCAGTAAGAACTTTTGAATGGAGTACCAACTACTGACTAGTGCATTTCCCTTCACAAAGTGATTGTGCTGTGCTCTCCTATGGAAAGTTCCATAAAATACCGGCAATAAGCTTATTTTTAAGCAGACCCATTGAGCTACGTTCAAGATTAATTTTACAAATCACTCTCAAATGAATCAAGCCAAGACAAAATGTCTCACTAATAGAAGATTATTTAACACTTAAAGATGTCCCCCTGGCCAGTTCATTAAAAGCATTCAAAATAGTAACAATAATTAATAAACTGCGCCATATATATCTAGTATTTTCCTTTCTTTAAAAAAGAAAAAGCTTACTGGTATTATCACAACCTTTAAAGTCGTTACAGTATATATTTCTGACACTCTACAATGAGGGCACACATCACATATATGGGCAACCACCACTAAATATTGGCTTAATAATTAAAGCAAAAGTCCTCCAAGACATTTATGCAAGATTCCAATGATTTCTTCAATCAATCTTTGGCACATATGAACAAAGTATACCGAAAAATACAAGCGACACACTGCAGAAGTAGGCCGGCAGCAAAGCGCTTCATCAGCACGTTGAGACGCGAGGCGGGCAGGTCACAGGTGGACTTCCACAAGGTCGCTCGGGTCCAGGAAGCAGTGTCCTGGAGTGTGCCCTGGAGAGGCCAAGGACGCGGACAGGGCCGTGGCCGCCATGGTGGCCGTCCCGGGGGCGAGGGCGAGGGCACGCGCGGGCGTGCCATGTGCTGGGGCATGAGTCACCCCGGCCGCCCCTGCCCCCGGGTCGTGGGGCTACAAGTGGTTACCGTCGGGGCCTGGCATCCGGACTCGGGTGCCCACCGTGGAGCCGTGGCCGACCAGGTTGGAGCCCAGACCCCCCAGGCCACCAAGACCGCCCAGGCCCAAGTCCCCGGACAGCAAGTGTCGCTCCGCCTGCAACAGAAAGTAACAATGCTCGATCGAGGATTTCAGTCCGCTCGCCTGGTCCCGGTACGACTCACCGTTAGAAGTAGCTAAGTGGCTGTAACAATTGAGCACGCTACCAAGAAAACGAGGAATACAAAATAATAAAGGGACTAACAAGAATTTATTTTATTTCGAGCTGATGTTGTAGGGAATCACATGTGGTGATAAATGCAAGGGAGATTGCAATAATAATAAATTTCTTTAACATTTGAAAAATGAAAAACACACACATTTGTGAGTGACAGTGAAACTGCCAAAGATAAAATATCGGACAGTTACACAACTTTTTTTAAATGGTGGAAGGAAAAGAATTGAAAAATCAACTGGCATCAAGAAGTGCGTCAAAATAAGAATAAAAACATTTCACGGTGGGTTCATAAGAATCAACATTCATCAGACAACTTACTACAGTTAGCCCACTAAGAATTATTCAGTTACATATTCAACTAAAACTTTTCTAAGATCACAGAAAGTAGTTCTCTCAGATACGTTAAATATGGTACAGCAAAATCTTCTCAGAAAATGTTCTCATTAATGGTTAAAAATCTATAATAACTCAGTGGTTAAGAACAGGTACAACAGAATGAAATATTTAGGTACTTTAGAATCCCCAAAAAGCAGTGTACGTATCAGGGCTCAGAGGTTGGTTAATCCTAGAATCAACCTAGGTAAGGTGTAGGTGAGGTGGTTGCACGATGACACCTAGTGTTTACCAATTAATTATAGAATATGCCAATGTCCAGAGCCCAGGCACATAATAACACATCAACAATGAACTACTCAGATGGAAGCCTTCCTGCCTGACAACAAAACAAAACAGTGTTTGCCTTCCATTACACATTTAAAAATGAACCCATCTACTTGTGGGTTGTCTGCCTTGAAGAGGAAAGAAAGAAAAAGCATACTATGGTCTGCGGTGGTTTCATAATTTAGAGAATTGTGGAAAAATAGTTCAATAGCACATTCTTTTCAACCAAATAATTGGGGCTCAAACCATGGCACTCAACTTACAAAAAAGAGGACTGATATTTATCAAAGAAAGTTAGTTGGAAAATCAGAAAACCAACTTAATACAAGAGAACTAGCTACTAAATAGTTTTTTCACAGCAATAAAATTTTGATGAATATCAACAGCAAGAGGCATAAATATAAACATCTAAAAAAGAGCCAACACATTATAGTGGTATTGAAATTTTTTAAATAGAAGAGGATAAACAAAGAAATAACATTCAATAACCTTTACCATAACTGAGGAAATAGCCTAAGTACTGAATACAATCACATGGTCATACTGAACTTAAAGGTGCATGCATTTACAAAGCATTCACTTACAATAAACAAAAATATGAAATTGATGCACAAAGGCACTATCAGCAGGTTGCTACATTGCCATGCATGTCATAACTAAAGACTTCCTACACACTAAAGGGTTGTTTGTTTACTTGTTTAGGTAATCACAAATATTTTATCTGATTTAACTCAGACCTCCAAATTTTAGACCACCAATAAAAGTAGATCTAAAATTTAAAGAAATGTGACAAGACAATAAAGAGGTAGACCAAAAATACTTCCTATAATACTGAGCATGACTGCTTTACAAAATTTTAAAAGCAAACAAAACAAAAAAAAAAAAAAACAGTAACAGAAAGAAAGAAAGCTAAGTCTGGAAAAGATCGTTCTTGGGTGGAGTTGTGATTGACACCACAGTCTGTAAAACAGAAATTAAGTAACATAGAAAATATACAAAAGCAATTAAATACATGCTTCTAGAATAAACATGCAAAACAATGCTAGAAACTACATGAACATGACTCCATTGACATTGAAGATCAAGAGCTTTTTGCCAATTTATTTACCTAGAAGTTCAATCTACTTAAGTTCTGAAAGTATTTACCCTCTGTCCGCTACTACTTCGACGAAGATCAGAAAATGACATTTCATTTTCTTCTAAACATAACTCTGAGTCAGAATCTAATCGTGAACGTCCACATTCCTGCAAAAAAGCAATATTTTTCTCCTTTTTAAAGGCAGGAAACAGAGTTTTCCCGAGTTTAAGAACGTTTACACAAATCATTCTAACCTGAGTTAACTGCTCCGTTGTAGTTAACAGTCGTGCAAGAGGATTGCAGCAAACAGGGAGTGTTTCCAATAGTGTTGGTCTTGCATGAGTCAAGAAAGGTTTCATATATTTTGTGTCCAGGCCTGCCCACCAACGGGCGAGGAGAGCTTTGCCATTATCCTTGCTCCCTGATACTGAATTACTTCCAGAAACTGAAGCAGAATCATTTATATCCTGGGAAAAATGCGTCAGTACAGTGCCACAACGTTGCTATGCGATGGAGTAGTGAAAATTAACAGTCACAATGTTGTATTTATAATGATATGTACTTACATTCCTAGCACTTGAATAAGGCAACAATTCCACTTCATCATCTACTCCTACTCTGAAAGAACCAGAAATGTTATTAATATTATAATTAATAATCTGCGTTGGATGCAGAGCAAATATAAGGATGCACTTACGGGATGTTTAACCATGTAAGGAGTTGCATTGTTGATCCACCTTGTACAATCACAGTAATTATCACAATAAGCGATGTTGTTGTCAACATTGCTTGGCGTGCCTCTGACACAGTGTTGCGAATAGCAAGAGCAAAAGACATGGCTCCACGAAGGCCTGAGATTACAAAATTAAAGATGTTACACTATGGCTGATTTTAAATTCTGATGTTTTTGATGAATCTTTTTGAAAATGAGCTTACCAGCAAAGAACAACATGTGTTGAAAATTGTAAGAAATTTTAGGTTTGCGACCTAAATTAAGAATAAATGACATGGGATAAATATTAGCAGCCCTTCCAATGGCAGCACATACCTGTCATAAAAATTAAGGAAATACCAAAAAACAAATCTGTATGGAACAATTCAAGTCAAAGTGTACCCGCTGGATCTAACAATAAAAGTTGGAAATGACAGAAATGAGGAAAAGGATACAAATCCAGCTATAATGAATCCTGGATCAAAGTGATGTTTGGGGAAGGTAAACATTGAAACACCTATGTATGAGAAGATAAAATTTTCTGCTAGGAAGTTCATTAGTTCAAACAACTGTTTGGTTCTTGTTCGTGAATCTGACGATAAATTGTTGTATGTGTAGTGGGCTTGACATATGCCGCAAAATAATACAGCAACAACACCTGTAGAGAATGGTAAATTTTAGTTGCTTGCACTCAGAGGGTAAGCATATGTATAACTTATTTTCACCTGTAAGATCAGCAACTTCAGCAATGAGGAAGGTGCTGTATGACATCAGCACAAAAAGAGCAGACTCCAGGAGAGGAAAATCACGAACCCTTGTGAACTTGGTCAAGTGCAGTGGAGTTAAGGAAGATTTCAATTATAGTGTAAAAGAAGACAAATAAAGTAGCTCATGGTGTAAATGTTAAGGGAAATTTCCGGATCCCGGCGACTCCTAAGATTTACCGGTAAATGATAGGAGTAACCTACCAACCCGGGAAATGTCTGTCCGAGCCAGGTTCTCCTATCATTTACCGGGAAGTGTTGCGGTAAATCGACATTTCCCGGTCGGCTGCGGGAAATGTTGAGTGTGGAGGTTGGTTATGGTGTCTAGGTCAAGGTGTCTATTATTGGGTCGCCGCTACAGCAACCGATCCCAGCGCGCTACTCCCAAAATTCGAAATTTTCAGTCTAAATTCAAAATTCTAAAATGACTCAAGAAAACCCATTGGCTGAACTCCCGGACGAGGCAGAATTCACGGCAAAACTGTTAAATATCATCAACTCAAAAAAAGGACAGATAATTTGGCTTATTTCTCTTAAGGGGGCACACCAGTGAAAATGCAGAGGCTTCGTAAAAACGTTATTCTGAGTAAAGTAACGAAGGTAATGGGTTGAAATTTTATTCTGAACTATAAAATATGTAAATTTAACCAAAAAAGTACACGGCAGCTAGGGGCGGCGACGGGAAGGGGGGTGGGTGCCATCTTCATTTTTCGGTGACACGGCTCCACTTTGCCCAACTTTGTGAAGCCCTCGATTGAGCCAGAAACATGGGGTTTCAAAATTTCTCATCAGGACACATGTGGCCAGTGGCGCCAACAGAAATTTTAACAGGGGCGCGAGTCTTTACAGGGACCCACCCACCCCTAGAGACCCCCCCCCCCTTTCTTTTTTTCGCAAGCGTATTTTCCGTTACAGATTCTTCAGACGGCCTTTTACAGCTAAGTCTACTTTTGCGAGCGAAGCGAGCTAAGAACCAACGCTTTCACAATGCTCCGTGCAAATCATTTCGTAATTACTTCAACTAACGCAACACCTTCTACTCAAAATTAAGAGCGAAGTGAGCATGATGCCAACGTTTTCAAAAGCTTTTATGTCCGTCATTGGGTCGTTTTTGTCGAAGCCGCAGTTAGGAGCCTCCCTGTGCTAGGGAAGCTAGCTTATACACTTCAAAGTCCTTCATGTTCTTCGAAGTGTGGAACAGACTTTAGAAATTGTGCGGGAGGCCCTAAGATGCGGTTACCCGAATTGACCATACGTGGAAATGCGGCCAATACCACATTAAAATCTTGGTAAATACCACAGCAAGTGGTCAGACCCTCCCACCTCAAGAAAAAAAGGGGAAGGGGACCAGGAAGAGGAAGCGGGCCCGACAAACATCTAGCAGCACAAGCAGCGAGTATGCTCAAACCATTCCAGAGAATGAAGAGATGCTGACTCCACCTCCTGTGCCACCGTCACCGAGCGTCAGACCGTCTGCATTGGCAGAGCAGTTCCTGCAGAGACGTGCAACACCGAGGACACCGAGGTCCATTCCGATGGTCAACACTCCTGTGTCAACACCACGCTTCAAAGGGTGGGATCAACCTGGTCCTTCGGTGCTCAAATGCGTCCTCTGCGATGGAATCTGTAAGCCCGGTGACATGTGCACGGAATGCTACAGGCCGCTTCACAGCGAGTGTGCCGTGGGGAATGGTGAATGCACTATGTGCAGAAGGGCAGCATCCATAGCTGTGCAGCGGGAGTCTGCACGGACGCTGGTGGGGCCTCGAAGAAAAAGTAGAACATGTTGAATAAAAAAATTTCCTCCCCAACCAACCTCCTCACTCAACATTTCCCGCAGCCGACCGGTAAATGTCGATTTCCGCAACACTTCCCGGTAAATGATAGGAGAACCCGACATTTCCCGGGTTGGGTAGGTTACTCCTAACATTTACCGGTAAATCTTAGGAGTCGCCGGGATCCGGACATTTACCTTAACATAAATAACAAAGAGTAAAACCTAAATGCAATAGCTCATTATTAAATTGTTTGAAAGGATATAATTGCTGTAAGGCATCCCATGATAGCACCTATCATAAGAGATAATGTGAAAATGAATATGAAGTCACCAAAAGCTCTGAGAAATGCATCAGTCTCAAAGCTACCAGATCCTGATTGGTATCTTTCACCATAGTTACGGATAGCCCTGTTATAAATTGGAAATAGTAAGGCAAAGTTAATGTGATTGTTTTGATTTGAAATTATTCACAAAGCATCTGTGGAACTTGAAACATACCCACTAAGAACAATGGCAACTGCATCATTAAGTACACTTTCTCCAAAAACAAGGGCATACAAGTTGACATCTACATGAAGGTCATTGAATATTGCAAGGATAGTGAGTGGATCAGTTGATGAAATCAAAGCACCAAAATACAAGGAGTCTAGAAAGGTAAACGATGTCCTTAAATGTGGTATAATTTGAACCATTCCATACATGAGAGCTCTGGAACGATAATAATCCCCACATTAATATACATTATTTTTAACTGAGTGATACAATAAAATGATACGGCCTGAATTTTTATAAACTCACCCCACAGTGAAAGAAGATACTGTTGTTCCAATGAGAGCATACATCAGAATAGCTCCCAAATTTCGGAAAAAGTATTTCTAGAACAGGCACACAAATATTAGTTTAAGGCTATTCTTCACATTGTTACCTCTAATATTTAGGTGAACTATACCAACCTTTTTCAAAGAGTACCCAGCATGAAAAATTATTGGTGGTAGAATAATGTTGAAGAATATTTCAGGATCAAAAGTGGCCTGTGATTGAGAGAAAAAGAAAATTTTTTCAAGCCCATCACAAGATGAGTGGCAACAATTAAGCCTGACTTACCTTCAAGTCAATCTCATTATTCTCTACATCCTTTATTTCTCCTCTGAACGTATATGCATAGGTCTTATTAGCTTGTTGGACTCCACTACTTGTTGGAGTTTTGTAAGGATAATGCAACCAAACAGTATCAGGTGGCAATGAATCATTGTAATGTGTTCCTTTTTCTGGGAAGACATTAATGCGAGATACAGTGGTTGTTGACCCAGCATAACGGATTAAGGCACCCACTATAAGACCTGAAATAGAAATGTTAAGAAAATGATAGCATTTTGATGATAGAGAGGTTCGTGATAAGTCCACAAAGATGTGTTTAGTGAAACTAGTGTGTCATTTGACATTGACACAATGATCTAGGTTATGATTGGTTTTGAGCCAATCATAGACATACAGAAAAACAAGACAAAACTTTAGATAAAAAATGCAGCACGTTTTGAACTAAAGTGGGAAGCAAAATTTACCATAAATCACTGCCAAGCCGGTTTCATGCAAAAATCTCAATCTCCTGTGCTTGAACATCCATATCGTCAGTACAGTGGAAATCAACAAGAAAGTATAGAGAAGCAGGTTTAGACTGTCAATACGATGCGTATATTGAGCCTTTGCATCACGTTCAATGTCAGAGGTCGTCGCAACACCATTCTTAAAATATTCGGCAAATAACAAGAGATAAAGCAACACAGAAGGTCCTAAAACAGAAGCCATGTTTTAACTCAACCACAGCCCTCTCATCCAACCAAAACATTCCAAATTTGCAGGCCCTTCCCTAAGGCGGTGCCGTAGTTGTGTGCCTTCGTTTGCTTGGTTTGCTTGCTTGCACCACAATCACAGAACTTTTCGGATGCAATGAGGCGGATCAGAAAGAGCCGGAAAAGTGTTTCTGATTCTGACCTTTCCGCAACTCTCATTCGCGTGCGAAGACAAGATGTTGATGTTGGTAGTCCGACTTCCCTCCTTTTATTTTTGTTCTGCCGGAACCGGATACGAACGTCTTGCGCGGGCATTCAAAAAGGGTGTGTGTTGTGTGTGGGGGAGGAAGGGGAGAGGGGGGGGGGAGAGGGAGGTAGAAGTTAGGTTACAGGTTACGACAGTGTTGTTGTGGACTTTCCATGCGGCTGCTCTAGGTTATATTGGATACATGTCAAGCTTTTAATAATGGAATGATGTGTTAACGTTTGATTGTAATTAACTTCAGCCCGTTTTTAAGTACAATTTGATCTCGCTACATACTGAAAGGCAGACAGCTTTGGTCAAGATATGCCTTCAGACAACCGTCGAATACAAGGACCGGAGGTCTCCAGCCCCTACTGTTTATTTCAGAGTGGAAATAAGAATGTCGACGTTCATTCTGGACGATCTGAAGTGCTGTCTTCGAGAAAAGATAGTAGAAAGTTTATGGAACATAGAAAAATTTGTTAGTAGCTTTTGATCTTATGTTATGGATAAATGAGTCTAACTTGTCTCATAGCGAGCTTTCCTGTTAATTGTTTCAGATTTGAAAACAGGAGTTGTTAGTCAAGCCAAGGGATCTGCCTATGTGGAATTTGACAACACAAAAGTGATTTGCTCTGTGTTCGATCCTCGTGAAATACCTAATCGAATTGAATACAGCCAACACGGAGAGCTATTTTGTGTATTTAAATTTGCTCCATTTTCCTGCCTTACCAGACGTGCTCATCAACAGGATGCACAGGAGAAAGAACTAAGTCTTTGTTTAAAACGAGCTTTGGAGCCTGCCGTTTGTCGGGTAAAGACAGTAAACTATTTTTTTCATGTTATTCTTCTTCAAAGAGTAGTATTTGTTATTGCTATGCAAATGCATGTCTCACTATTTAACGTGAAAATGTTTTGGTGGGCTAATTTCAAGCATTTGTCAGTTTTCATATGCCATTGTAAGATCACAAATAAAATTCTAACAATTTTCTTGCTTTTTTTTTTTGTTTGCTAACTGCAGCATGAGTTTCCAAATTTTCAAGTTGATATATATGTTATGGTACTGGAAAACGATGGTGGATCTCTCGCCGCCGCCATCACCTGTGCAGGACTTGCTTTGGCAGATGCACATGTGCCCATGTATGACTTAGTTACTGCTGCATCGCTGGTAAGTCCTTAAGCTAAACTAAGTCTTGTGTTGTAAGTACTTTACTCGTATAAAATTATAATGTGTGGTTTCATGTAGGGAGTGACAGGTGACAAGTTACTCATGGATCCAGTGGAAGAAGAAGAAAGCCTTTGTCAGAACCCAAATAAAGAAAACCAAAATCATGGCCTAATCACCGTTGCTCTAATGGGAGCACATACTCAAGTTACTCAAATGTGGCAAACAGGATCTATGACAGCAGCTTGTGTATCAGATGCCCTCACACATTTGGTGCAAATCTGTGAGGAGACATACCCAATCGCTCAACGTTGTTTAGTCAAGAGTGTTGTCGATACCATTTCAAAAAAAGCTCAGTGACAATGTTGTCAATCACAGTTTCATTTGCGAAATAAATATTTTATCTCTTAAACCTGCAGCTTTTACTCATCCTGACTGTGTGTAGACCTTTGTCAGACACATAATTCTTTTCCTGGACAGAGGGTTTGCAGCTCCAGGACGTCCTGGAGCTGGATGCTCTATCGTCTAACATATCTCAAGTATCCACTCTGGATGGGTGAAAAAGGGGATTCTTAAAAGGGAAGGGAAGAGTTTGACAGAGGGAAGGGTTTTATTCGAGTCAAAAGGTCTATCCTTTTAAGTTCCCAGCACACCCAAGACACTCCGCTTTTATGAAAAATTTACTAGCCTCAACACGTATTGGCAGCATATTGCTGCAAATACGCCTCTATTGGCAGCAATATCGTGTCATTAAGTACGGAAGATTCGTAAATTTTTCATAAAAGTGGTGTGTCTAGGGTGCGTTGGGTACAAAGGATACTAAGGATAGACCTCTAGAGCTACATACCCTAGAGTTTTAGATAGCTATGCGGCGCGTAATTTCTCATCATACGGTCGATATTTTGGCAAGAGTTGTTTCTCCAAATCTTAAGCTCAAGGTGGATTTAGGAGAGGTGGCGGCGCTCCCTACCCAAGCGCACGCCAGAACCCGTCCCCCCGCTCGGCCGCCAGGGGGCGCGGCGGGTTGCCGCCCCGCCAGGCTGAACGGCCGGCCGGCGGCCGGCGTCTTATGGGCGGCGGACGGTTTATCGCTCGTAATTCACTCCCCGTTCACTTAGAATGAAAAGTGAATAGTGCTAGTTGTAGCTTAGGACCTCACCTTTCATTTGATACATGTTTCAAGTCGATCCGATGAATATACAAAGAACGGGAGTGATAAATAGAGGCCCCGCGGCTGTCCGGGTAGCGCTCCGCCACTTTCCGAGGCCCGTGGGGCTTTTCCTATTCATTTTAGACGGTGGGTGTAAGCGAGCCAATTAAAGCCGAAGGTCTAAGCTTTCGTTTGGTACCACATTCATTGCGATACGACAAATAGGAAAGGAACCGCAGGAAAAACTGTGAACGAAAACGGCACCAAGGATCTGCTACACCTGTCTGCTATTCCTAGTGTCATTGCTGACACTGGACACGCCCCCATGTATTCATCCCTAGGTCAGGGGTCGAGATTTATGCAAGGGCAGTTGCTATTTTGGCGGAATAAAGCCCTTCCTGAGTTAGTAGAGGTTAAGGAGGATTTACAACCTGAAAGCTGACATCAAAATGCCAAACAGATGTGTTGTCTTCAATTGCAGTAGTGGCTATGACAGTGATAGACAGTACAGAAAAAAAAATGGGTTGCCTCAGCTGTCCCAATTCACTGCCCCCAAAGTAAGGAACAAATTCCCCTTGAATCATTTGACCTCTTCAATGCTTGCGGACACAGTGTTCCTCCGTGTCCCTGAGTATAAACCTGATTTGAAAGGTCCAGTAGAGTAAATAAATCCCTGTTTGCTCATGACATATTTGTGATTTAGCAAAGCAGCTAATAAAGATCAATGTGCCCTTAATACTTTCATTTAAAATATGTGTTGTAACAGACAAAAAATTCACTTACTTATCATCGTAGTGAATCAAGAACCATTGTGAACAATTCATGGATTTATTTTCTAATATTCATAAAAACAAAATTGCAGATGCAATTAACTGGATGCCAATGCCAGATAAATTGAAAGAGATGATGGATCAAAGTAGATACCTACATAAATAGCCTGAAGCATCATGCCGCCATCAAGCATGAGGGAGCAAAATTCTATACCTTTCTTGATGCACCAATCAAAGACATGGTGTTTTCCTGTCACTTTGCCTTCACTGCTCTAAAATTTATCTAGCAATGGCATCTCTGTTTGACAAGTGGAAGTACACTGCAAGAAACGAAGGAGCGTAGGTCTTGAAGGATCTTTGGTAAGTATCACAAACTCATAAGGTCCTCCTGGAAAAAAGAGTGAGTACTTCATAATGAATAAAGAACAATGAATAAAATTTAAAAAGGAATAGGTGAACATTTCTTACCCTTTTTCAGGAAATGCTGGACAAATGGGAAAAAAAGATTTCAAGAGGGGGAGGATGGAAGATGGGGCCAAAGCACACTGTTTGCGAGCTTCACTTTGAGAAGAAATTCATAGTTGAGACTCATGACATTCTTATTGATGGCACCAACTTGAGCCAAAGGAGGGAAAAGAAATCTCTGACAAAAGATGCTATTCCAACGGTGTTCGATGGCTACCCGACATACATGAATAAACCTCTGCCCAAAAAAAGAAAATCTCCTCAAAAAATCGTTTCAAGTGAACCAAAGAGGCAACGGCCTGAGACAGAAAAAAGGTAATTATGTTTATGAAATAATGTCATTGCAAATGCAAACAAAAGTGACACACAATTTTCATTCTAGGCCTGATGATTCGATGGAGCTGGAGATGGAGGTGGATAACCCTGAAGTGCCAAAGGAACAGCAAGAGAAAATGCAAGAGCAACCGCAAGGGGAAGTGTCAAAGGCTGCAGCACCTGAAACAGTAGAATCAGTTCCTGTTAGTGAGACTGTATTATCGACACCACATGAAGTGGCCAGGCCAAATGCTAACTGGCATATTCACAAAGGGCCCAATTTTATCTCATATGTGCATATTGGAACAGAGGCCATCCAAATTGACAGATATTTAAAAATTACAAAGAATGAAGTTCAAGTAGTTTTGGAGGGGAAAAAATTGGATTTTCCTTTGACTCTTACCTCGTTTGATGATGTTTCAAGTGCGCTCAAAGAACTGGAGGCCCTTGTTCCTAGTCCAGGGACTGGACATGAGGGTAGAAGAGACTTCAAGTGCAGCCACTTTCTTCAACCCATCAACCAAGCTCGAAGTAATAAGCTGCCGCCAAGGTGTCTTGCCTGTGCCAATAGAAAGAGAGCAATTGCCAAAGGTAAGAGAAGAGCAGAAGCAGCTAAATTTAAGAGACTTCAATTGGCACAAGTGAAAAGAAAAGAAACAAAGTCACTGAGGCAAAAAGTGAAATGTCGTGACAAAAAGGTAAGAAGCTACTTTTATCTCTTTTCTTAAATATTAAATGATTTAAATGAGGTCATGAACATCACATTATTGTTTCAGATCAATTCACTAGAGGAAAAGCTAAAAACTTTGCAAGGTTTATATGATGCCTTAGAAAAAGCCCAAGTGATTGAATATGTATGTACTCTACCAGAGAAATGGAGGTTTGCTGTGCTGGCCTGCTTTGAGGCAGCTAAAGCGAAGAAACCATGTGGAAGGCGGTACACAAATCAATGGATTTATGAATGTGCCCTTTTAAGAATAAAATCACTGGCCTTGTACAAAAAGATGCTTCGAGATAATTTCCTGCCTTTGCCTTCTCTGAGGACCATACAAAGGTATATGAAGAAACTCAAGCCTTCTTATGGGTTCCAGGAAAATGTTTTCAATCTGTTGAAAGAAAAAGCAGAACACATAGCTCTGGATGAAAGGCATGGTAAGTACATCAATGAACATTATTTAAAGACTTTTGACAAAAAAAAAGTAGATCTTACCGTTTCAATTGTGTTTCTCACAGGTAGCTTGCTTGTAGATGAAATAACGCTAGCAGAAGGAGTGCATTATGACAAAATTACCCTTAGAGTCAAGGGGCTTGTGTTCTTGGCTCAGTACACGCCTGAGAACCAAAAAGATGCTCCTGCAGACCATGCATTGACTTTTATGTTCCAGAGCTTCAAGGGTCAATACTTTCAGTCAATTGGGGTCTTTTTAACAAAAGGAGCAGCAAAAGGGCCTGAGCTTGCCAAGCTTATCATTGAAGCAATCGGCCTTCTTGAGAACAGTGGATTTTATGTGGATGCAGTTGTTACAGATGCACACCCCTGTAACAGAAATATGTGGACAGAGTTTGGTTTGAGAAAAAAACATTTTGAAAAGGAAGGACCATCAAGAAAGAAAAATGAGAAAAACAAAGAGTTTGATGAAGAGGATGAAAATGAAGAAAATTTTGACTATGAACTTCTTGATATTGAAAATTTAATTCTGGGACAAAATAAAAAAAAGGCACAGACACAGGAAGACAAACAGCCTAAGAAAAACACACAACCTAAGAAAAAAACTGATCAAAGAACTCCAGCAGAAGAGTCGGGTAAATTTGAAACCAGCTGTGAGCATCCAATTGATAAGAACCGGAGGTTGTGGTTTTTTTCAGACTTTCCCCACTTGGTGAAGTCTGTAAAACAAAAAATTGTTAACGCTGAAGAGATAGTGGTAATTATATTTTTTTTAAATGAGTAACTTATTGCCTTTCCAAAATTTTCTTTTGTAATGTGTTTGTTTTCCTTTATCAGACTCCAGATGGCACTGTAAAACTAAGTCACTGGGCCATAGTTTGCTGCCAGGATGAAAAACGAGGGATTAAAGTTGCTCCCAAATTGGGCAAGCAACACTTCCAGACAGAGTCATATGCAACAATGAGTGTGAAGAATGCATTTTCAGTATGGATTAGATTAATTTATGCTGCATTTTTTCTTGCTTTTGAATTTTATTTTTAAATAAGATGAAATTGTTCTTTAAGTTTTTCAGTGAACAAGTTGCTACGGCCATGGAGCATTATAAAAGCATTGGGATCCCAGGAATGCAGGACTGTGGCCCATCTGTTGCTTTTATCAGGAGAATGAATGTGCTAATTGATGCCATGAACTCCAACACCAGGCGACATGGCCTCAAGTGTGATGATGAGTTTGGTGAGGATGATGAAGACTCACAGCCCCCGGTCTGTCCTGAATGTCAAAAGACTCACGCTGAAAACACTCCAAGGAGAAGAAAATCTTCAAGAAAAGTTTGTAGCATATTTGCAACATTTATTATTTACTGATAAAACAAAAAATAAATTTTGTAAGGAAGAAGTATTATTTTTAAGGTACAAAAGCTCTGAAGTTAATGTTAATTTGACAGGTACTGGAAGATTTTCTAGAGTATTTAGAGCGTTGGGAGAAAGACCCAAATTTAAAGAGAGACCAGCGATTGACTGCCAGTGCTGCGTATGGACTTCGAGTATCATTAACTTCAGCTCTTGAACTAAGCACATACCTACATGACAACCTAGGTTTTGAATATCTCATGACAAGAAGGGTCAACCAAGATGCTCTAGAGGTAATTTAAACCACTCTGAAGTATAATTTTGAGAGACAATGAAACTTTTAACTCACCTGAATATGTT